AACATTTATCGTATATCTAATAACTTCATTGTGTTGTCAGCGATACGTTTTGCCAGCAACGCAAATTTCAATGGTTCGTTGCGGTGAAAATTTTGAAGCAACTAATTTTTAAACTTGGTACTTAATTAGCACCTAAAAAGCCCCTAATTTGGACTTTTTCTGAAAGCAATTTTGATTGTATTTTGATTTTCAGGAAATCTGAATTTTAGATCGGCTATGTTCTGAATAACGACTTTATTTTTATTAGGGGCGCCTTGTTATTGCGTATACTTGCAGCACCTAATTAGCACTTAATTCCTTGCTATTAATATCTATCGTATATCTAATAACTTCATTGCGTTGCTAGCGAGACGTTTTGCTAGCAACGCAAATTTCAACATTTCGTTGCGGTGAAAATTTTAGAGCACCTAATTTTTAAACTTGGCACCTAATTAGCACCTAAAAAGCCCCTAATTTTGGATTTTTCCAAATACAAATTCCCGACTTTGCGTTGCTAGCGATACACAACTACGTGATGGGGCGGTATTTGCTCGGGTCTGTGGTATCCCGGTCTTTAGGAACCAAATGAGTGATCCCAGTAGTGAAGAGGCTCGGGAGCGACTTTTGTTCGAGAGCCTCTTGAATTTGTCGGGCGAGCACAGCGTGACACACCACGAACCCCTTCAGCCAGGTTTACAGGCTCTGACCACAGGCCGCGCCAGAAGACAGTGTCGGCCTGATTCGGTGCTTGGCCCGTTCCACGTACCATTGGTCATTCCAATGGTTTATAGAGCCTCTTCTGATCACTCTGGAAGAGACGATTCTGGAATCCGCTTTCCCCAAGCAGCGATTTTCTGCTTCAGGTCGTCTATGCGCTCCGTCAGTTTTGCGTAATATCCGGCTGAGACAAACTTATATTTGTCCCAGCAAACGCCATCCTGACGGTGCGCACAATTCTCGGTCTATGATTACCCGACCCGAAGCTTGTCAGTCTGCTGATTAGGGCTCTTGCCTTTGCGATACGGTCCTCAATTCTTTTCTCCAGGCTGGGATGGCGCTACTTTGTCTAGTAGCGCATCCAGCCATGGGAAGTTTGGCGCCAATAATACGACAAACTGCCAGTGCGGTGCCAAAAAGATTTGAGTCCGTATCGCAAAGGTTCCGGCTAGCTTCCAAATAGGTCACCAGCATTGGGTTGAGAGCACTCACGACAGCCCGATTCCGCTTGCTTAGGGGTATGCGGGGAAGTCGCGGTCGATTTTCGAAAGGCGTACTGCGCGTTTCCAAAATACTCCTCATTTGCTCTCCTTTGTGGGAGACTATTTCATCATCGTCTGAATCAACTACAACTGGAATATCCACGGCGTCATCCACGTGTGCGGGTTGCACTACAATTAGTGGCGCCGCATTACCAGCTGTAGCATTTTCATCCAATGAGGGAACAACCTCACGTCGTAGTCGTTCGAGTGCGGCGTTACTAAACATGTTGGAGCGCAGGATATACCGAACTCGATCTGCCAGGTTTTGCTCCGTTACATGAACCGATGGCTCCAGCTCTGCGAAAAAGCGATGAATCCGAGCCCGATACGCCAACACTCTAGTTTCTTCCTTTTTCGCCCTAAAGTACGCTCGCAATGCGTTATTATTATTATACATCTATATTCTCCCTATTATAGAGGTAACTTAAACCCTAATCACACGGGCCGAAGCCAAGCGTAAGCAGGTGCTAGGTGATGGTGTAAGCGGAGGTGACGGATGAAGTGGTGAGGAATTTGCGTGTGAGTCGGCAGGTGTTGAGTATTATTATTAGTACAATATTGTTACCAAGTTTAAAATTATTTTAAATTTTATTTTACATAATATATTACATTAAATATTAAACAGACTCGCAAGTTTTTAATTTCGTTGATTGACACGAGTAGTTTATGGTAACTAATGTATGAATATTATTATAATACTTTTTTTTATAAGATAAGGTGACAAACGAGCACACAGTCCACCTGATGATAAGTGGTTGCTGTGACCCATAGACATCTACATTTATCCTCAATAAAGAATCACAATGCAGAGGATGGAATGCCTATTTTCCAGTAAAATGGGTCTCCGGTTCTCTACACTCACCATACGAAACACAGCAGTGTCAAACTGTCATTTTATGCTGGTATTTTGTCTTTCCCCGGTCGAACCGAACCATTCGTGCTACAGCTATACATACTACTAATATAATTGCAGCATGGCGTACGATATACACGTATGATAATTTTCAACCACAAGTGCGGCATAAAATATATGATAATAGCATACAAATATTACAATATTTATTTATAGACATGTAAAGCCTAAATTTTACTGCAATAAATCAAAAGATTATTTTCTGTCGAGTAAAATTAGTTTGTCGTAGTGCCAATTAAAATGTATGTTCAACATCTTGAAAGCACCACATAAACACGAGACCGAGAAAATAGGAAACACAGCAGTGTTAAGCTGTCATTCTACGCTGGTAATCTGTGAGAGCATTGTCCTTGCCTTCCCCGGTCGAGCCGACCCATTCGTGCTACAGCTATACTACTAATATAGTTGCGGTATGGCTCTACCACGTATGATAGTTTTCAACCACAAGTGCGGCATAAAATGTATGATAATAGCAAACAAATATTACAATATTTATTTTTAGACATGTAGAGCCTAAATTTTACTGCAATAAATCAAAAGATTATTTTCTTTCGAGTAAAATTAGTTTGTCGTAGTGCCAATTAAAATGTATGTTCAACATCTTGAAAGCACCACATAAACACGAGACCGAGATAATAGGAAACACAGCATATTTTTTAAATATTAGCAATGCTATTGACATTACTTATATTCCCTTTAACCACTGTAAAGTAAAAATGCTTGTGTTGCAGCAGTTCATGACAGTTGTCGAATGGCGGCTTACATCCCACAACCTTTGAGTTCGCGGTCCGCACCCTGCCATTAGGTTATTGTCGCTCACTACAGTGTATTTTATCTCATTCTCTCGTAGACTAAATCATATAGATGTATATAAATATTTCGCAAACGGACTGCTTCATCCAAAAGATGTTGTTCTATACCCCCAATGTTTTTGAAAAACATATCCAACGATACCCCACATGATGGAATAGAAATTGCCCCAATTGCACTACACACGCGGCAGCGGCAGTTATGATTTAGGGAGCAAGGAAGGCCTTGCGCCCCTGCCTCCCTGCTGCAGGGCGAACTTAGGATATTACCTCTGTTTGCAAACACGAATCACAATTAAGGGTCATCTACACTCCTACTCCCTAGATTGCCGCTGCGGCAGACAAGTGAGTAGCAGGTGCAGCGCAAACCGGTTTGTAACTAGACGAAGCGCCTGTAAAACTGTCGGTGAACCTGTCGGTGACAGCTCATGCACACATCGCTGCGCTATGTATACCCATCCTTAGCGGAACGATGTATGCGTGTACTATTTTACTCTTATTTGGTTTTATTAACTTTTTGGATTCAATACAGCATTTTATGCGTTTTTAATAATGGCGTAGCTCTGCATATGCAAGCAGGGTGCAGTTTATTAATGTTGTATAAAGTACACAATAAAAAAAGAAATAAAGCTACATAGGTGCAGTTTAAATATAATAATTTTTATATGTGCTTTTCAAAATACGTCTGTCAGTATTTTTTATTTTATATATACTCCAAATTCGTAGGCTGGGGTAGAGGGGTGGTGCAATCAACACTTAACAAATTTAGTTTTATTAACTTATTGTGCTTATAATTGCATTTTATGCATTTTTAACGATGGTGCAATTATATTCAAGCAAGAAGCAAGTTTTTTTAAATATTTCAATAAGTACCCAATTCTAATTATTTGAAGTAATATCGACGATACAAGGTGAGCGATTTTAACAATTTTTCATTTCTAAACTACATGGGTGAATTTTAAATAATTAATATTTTTGAGATGTGCTATTTGAAATACATCTGTCAGTATTTTTTTATATACATACTCAAAATTCGTAGACTGGGGTAGAAGGGGTACAGACGACCTGACAGCACGAAAATGTGTAACCAATTTTGATTTGTCATTGTTTGCGTTAGCTAGTGATGTACATTTTACTTACAAGGACTATCGAAAAATTTTTGTTCAGGAAGCGGTAAAAACATTAAAAAAAATGGTTTAATGTACGAAATTGAATAGATTCAAAAATTTACTTATTTTTACCTTCATGGTTCTAAAATAATTAAAAAATATTCATATAACATGCATCCGAGAATAAGCTAGGTGCAGCTTGCCTTTTGTTGGATTTTAATTCAATATAAATAAATTTCCAATAATCTCTGAAGAGGTGAGTCGACCGATAAACTTAATTTTAAATTTTTTACCGTGAAGAATTTTGTAAACAAAACACGTCAGAAGGGGCTGTGAAGCTCGATACCTTTGCCTGCTTTAACTAGCGAATCGTAACAACAACAACAATATCTCTGGTCAGCAAGTAGCATTATATTTATATATACATACATACACACGTATACAATTTTACATATACATTATACACAGTTATGTATTTGTCTTCGTGTCCATAATCACTGTTTTTTATTTAGAAAAATTTGGATCATTTATACTCGATTTTCGCTATTTATGAATTGATTTGGTAACGAACGGATAGTTTACGATTATTGTTTGTAAAATGAGCGTAGTTGTGTGTAGTGTGTATTAGTGTAAAACCTGATTGTTCGTCACAGAATTCAGTAAGCATAAGCAGAACACTTTGTAAAAATGTTCAGGCTCTTTGTTGCCAACTGTAATGTATAAATTTCGAAAAGATAGAGGGACCGACGAAGAAAATGGAATATTAGACGTGTGATTTATCAGGTAATATCTGCAATCTCTCGAATTCCCAAGTCCTACGCAATGACAGTACCGTTGCATACATATGCTTTCAATTTCAATTAGTTATTACGATTTTTCTTTTTTTTTTAAATTGTGGATCGTTAGCTGGCTACGTCAAAACTTGGACGAGATGGATCCCTCCATATTTTTGCAATACTCACCCCCAAATGGACTGCCACAGGAATCCAAGTTGGCTACATATATGGTATGACCTTAAGTTTTATGGGATGTATAAACATATAATAAATACATTACTCATTTACTGAATGTTTCAGAACCGTTCCACATCAACTCCCACAAGAACTTTAAATCAAGCTTTAGGTAAGCTTAGCCTGGAGTCTTCTCCAACTGCTATTAAAAAGGTGAGAATTCAATATACATTGCACATGTTATATTAAAAGGTGTATACATTAATAGTAATCTTAATAAAACAATGTTATTTTGCTTCATGTAGGTAACATATTTTTATTTTATTAGGTACTATTAAGTGAATTTGTTCCTGTGAACTACTTCAGTCCAACAAATATACTTCCCGAGTCACCAGAAAGCTCCCCTCCATCCACTTTGGCTGGTATACCCACTAATACACAAGTGCATCAGGTGAGTAATAGTTCTCAAGCAATGTATTATAAGTAATCAAAAATACACATTATCACATAGTCATAATTATTAAAATTTACTTCAGATTTCACAGATTTTATTAAATTAAACATCTGCATTATTAAGGTAACTTTATTTTTTTTACACAATGGATTTATATTATAACAGTATTAATAATAATATATAATATAGTTTTAATTTAATAAAATTATTTCTTGATATCTATAAAGAATTTTTCTTAACAGGAAAATGTAGGTGGTACAACTTATTTTTATTCTACCAACGATAGTCTCAACACTTCTGGTGCCCTAAACTCATCAGCTTCAATAGGTATGTCTTTTTAAATCATTTTTATTTATTCATTATCAATTTATGTATCAATACTTGGTTAAATTGACATAGGTTATGAGACATTTAGGTAATTTTTTATAGAAAATTCTATTATATATTTTTAAACACATTAGCTCCTTAAAAACTTGTTGTGTCATAAGCACTGGGTACTTTTTATTATATTTAGATATGTTGAAACTGTTACTAAGTTTCCACATAATAAGGTGGAAGAATGGTATAAACCAACCGTTATTAAAACTTAAATTAAGTGTTAATACGAGTTAATTAAATTAAGTAAGATTTTTTAATTTATAACACCAGATCCAAGTTATTGTCACCATAATAACAATTTAATGTCATGTCAAGATCCAGATCAAGGGCTTTTGTAGATATGTTCTTCTTTACCAGACTTTGAATACTGTAATCCTATTATAGGGAAGATTTGCCTTAATTATCACGTTTGGTATTTGAATCAATTGAATCACTTATGTTGATATGATATCGATAGTATTATTGTGCCATACAATTTCATGCAAAATTAGAGTCACTAACTCCATCCCTTTTGGTTTTTGTATGACAAATTATGTTATTATTGTCAGGTTCTTACACACAGTCAATTACAATTCTAAGCAGTTCTTTGTAAATTAAAACAAAATGTGGTGCAAATCAAGAATCGAAGGTTATTTAAGTTAAAAATTACAGTGTGATGAGATTTCGTAACAGAGGAACATATTGGGGAAGCCTTATGTTTTAGAAATAAAGTATTTATTGCAAACATAACATTGACCATTTCAACACCGAGAGTGTTAGAACATCCACTACCCCATGTCGTCCAGCGGGTGCCGAGAGGCGACAGAGGGAAACAAACCACAAGATGGCCATCATCATCTTCCCATTAAAATTAAAAAGACTTGGTTGAAATGAAGTCCCTTTCGTAGTATATTATTATTGATAAATTTAGTAGCATCATCTATACAAAACGTGTCTGTTTGTAATGTCAAAATTACAGCGTTTTACTAAATGCATATGAAAATATAAACGGTACTTATAACTGTCTGTCTCTCTGTCTGTCGGTCTGTTTGTTCTGGTTAATCTCCGTAAAGGCTGGACCGATTTTGATGCTCTTCGATTCTGATAGCTGATGTCATAAGGGGTAACTTAGGGTACTTTTATTATAGAAAAATAATTAGGGTTCCTTGCAAAAAAAATTAAAACCCTAAATTACACGCGAGCGAAGTCGCGGGGAACAGATAGTTTAAAATAATATTTCTTTCATGGCAAGATAAGAAAAAGTGCGAGGGAGATGGATATTATTTCATCTCGCTTCCTTATAGACCTCAAGGTCGTGACGGAAAACTTTTATGGCGGCTGTACACGCACGTCGAGACACCACGAGACAGGCCGAGTACGAGTGTGTACATGGTGCCCTCGTCTCGTCGCATCGCGTCTCGCGGCCCTCTTTTGCTCTCGGAAGCCTGTCGGTATTTTGCGTTCGAATCAAAAGGGTCGAGAGAAAACGAGAGCGCGCATGTACACATGTAGTTACTGTAGGGTTCATATTGTTAAATAAATAAAAATGTAGGTAGTTACATGGTTCTGTTACGGTGAATAGAAACCGTCCACTATCTTTTTCTTCGTCATGGCTTGTTAATTTTTATTTAATGGTACATAGCCTGTACAAAGGCAAAACGCAGCAACAATTTATTCTAGATCCATCGCAGCGGGCATCTAGAGTTCAATTGATACAACGACAACGAGTATGTGTACATGGTGTGCTCTCGAGTCAAGTCTCTACGTGACGAGAGGCACGCGAGGCGACGTGACGAGTGTGTACTTATATAGTTTGTACAACCATTAATGTAAAATTTGCTTTTAATAAAAGTTCCGCTGGGTTTCTTGCTGGTTCTTCCCAGGGCAAAGGTTTTTTTTCGAACCAGTGGTAAAGTAAAAAATGACTTTCAATAAGAATTACACAAGTGATCTATATTGAATATATAGATCACTTGTGTAATTATTCTATTCTATTCTACAGGCGCCATTACACTTTTTTTCGCCTAGCCCACATCGGCCAAGTCCGTACCGTGCGATAAGAAACTTCGCTCCAAAAAATATTAAAAGTTATAACATTGTAATATGTTTATACGAGTACAAATGTGAATAAAAATAACATTCACATACAATGACGGCTAGGGTCATTTCTCATTTGACCTATTCAATAGATGAATGCATTTTTGTTGTGAGTAGGATAATTATATTACTGTAATTTTATTGCTGATCTTGTTTCACATACCTAAATATTTTAGTTTATACGTTCATTACTCTACGCGTTCTCATTGAGTCAATTTCATTATTTTGGTTGATATTTCGTGAAACCATACCGTTGACTACAATTCAATAACAAATTAGGGGACGATCGTCTCGGCGACGAAGATTACGTGGCGTTCGAACATCAATGGTTATAACTCTCAAAATAATATGATGTCACCAGGTGGAATATTATGGAAATCCATATTTGAAAATGGCTTAAAGGTCGCCGAGGAAGTCATAATGTTGCGACTGAATAGCCAGGACCTTTTTTTTACATGGGGAAATGCCTACGCCTACTCGCCTCGCGGGGGCAAGGACGGGTTATGTCGGACTCGCACCGACTAAAACCCATGGTGTTCCACCTTCGCCGCAAATTAGCAGGGCCACGGGAACGCTTTCGCACACATCCGCGGCCTCACCAGCGCCGGCCACCCCATGGCAGCCCCTTCTCGGGGGAGGACCTCCCCCTCCCCATTCTCCTTCTCAGGCAAGGCGCACCAGGAACACAAGGCACGCCCCCCTCCACGGCCTCCAACTCCACCTGCGTATAGGACCCCCCCGAGTCCGATACGCGGAGGCCATGGGCCCAGGAAAATCGAGCACTTAGTAGCATCCGCTCTCCCGACCCTAGCGGTGGATCTGGTCTCTGGCTCCACCGCCAACCACGTTTCGGCCGCGGAGGGTAGAGAGAGCGGCGCCTCGCAATACCGACACTCCCCCTCCCCCCGCGGCCCCACCATCACCGCATCAACGGTGCGGCCCCGTCAGAGTCGCAGAGGATAGGGCGAGTGGCGCATCGCCATACCAACACTCCTCTTCCTCCGCGACTCCACCTCGGCTGAGCGATAGGGGGAGAGGACACCTCTCTCACCGCAGCCCACCGACACACATCCAAAGTGGGCTCGCTAAACCGGTCCTACACCACGGGCTAGTCAAGTGGTTCCTCTTTGTTCACCGCGGGTGACCAAGCCACGGCTACTAAGCCCCCCGCCCCCCCTCGCCACGACAAGGCGGGAACCCGTTCGGGTGGGGAATAGCCAGGACCTACCAACTATGCGCGGAGGCAATTTGGAGAGGAATTAATGATAGCCTGGAAACTTTTGATAGATGATACAATTTTACGACACAAAAAATTGAACTGACGCCGAAGCAAATCGTCGGCTTGGTTATTCATGATACATTTCCCTAGAAGAACTTAAAAAAATCATTTCCATTCTGTATGTTAGAGGTTGTTTTGTAGCGAGAAATATATCTGTAAATGATTTATGGACTATAATATATGGGGCATTCTATAGTTTTAGAAAAATATGGAATGCCCCATATTTATATATTTATAGGCTAGGGGTAGATTCAAAGAAATTATAAAAAATTTACGATTCGATGCGAGATCAGAACGATCTACGAGAATTATAACGGATAAATTTGTGTTGATTTCTCAGGTATGGAACCGCTTTATTGACTCAATTTTGTGCTACAAATCGGGAGAAAATGTTACAATAGATGAACAGTTGGCTACAAAAGTTCGATGCCCTTTTGGCTGTGTTTATGTCAAATCAAAATACTTGTTGAATGCTTACCCATATCTTGGGAAAGATGAAACTCGAATGCAAAATCTTGGAAACCACGTCGTCATGCATCTTATGAAACCATTTTTAATAAAGTTAGAAATTTGACTACAGATAACTTTTTCACATCTGTGTCTTTCGCACAGAACTTGCTTTGGTTCCCGACTTATTACGTTTTTGAAATTTGGTTATTATACCTACTATCAATGTGTCTAATTTAGTTTAGGAAGTGTGTAACTGGCCGTTGTACGTTAGGAAAAATACAGATCAAGTTATAAATATTAACTTCGTAACACGGAAATTCTTTGACGGCTTCTTATAATATTTTTTGGATGAATCTTTTTTAAATTACTAATATTCCACCACTCTTAGTAACCTTATAATGTTTGTTAGGAGTAGTTCACGGCAGGTAGTTTAGCATTCTGATAATTTTGAATTCGTGACTTTTTACTGTGGCCAAGTTATCGTTTTTAAAAATGTTGCAAACTTTTGTTTTGAAAGTTTGACTGATTCACCTCTTACGCGATGATTCCAGCTAGCATGGATTAAGACTTTGTGACTTTAACTGCTGACTGGTTTCGGCTGACGAACGTAAAAATATGACATCATGAGCATCGTAGAATAACATTTATAGTTCTTAGGCTATTCATAAAGATACGATTGAGTGAATACAGTCAAGTGTTTATATTTTACACGAAACTATTAAGCCTTAATAAGTAGGCGTAGGTAATGAACCGGTCCTTCTTATTATAAGTTTTTAACTCTGCAAATCAAAAGCCTTAATTTTATAAAAAAAAAACTAGCTGTTCCTCGCGACTTCGCTTGCGTGTTAGCGGTTTTATGAACTCTAATTCGTTTTCTAAAATAAAAGTAGCCTTGTGAAATCAGCTATCTGCCAGTGAAAGTCCCGTCAAAATCGGTCCAGCCGTTTCGGAGATTAGCCGGAACAAACAGACAGACAGCCAAATATTTAAAAAATTGTATTTTAGTTATAAGTACCGTATTTACTTTCATATTTAGTTTCACATTTAGTAAAAAACTGCAGTTTTGACATTACAAACAGACACTTCAATTTTATTTATTTGTATAGATTGTGAGTAGTCCGCGGGACGCCTAGCAGATGTGAAACATCGAAATTAATTTGTACAGGTAATATGCATAAAAGGATAGCTTACGACAGGAAATAAATATGGCCTAATGAAAAATAAAATATTAAGAAGAATTTTTTAAGAAAAAGATGACTGTTTATTTAATAATTTTTTATATTCCTTAAATAAAAATATTAAAAATTCGCGTCAAAGAATAACTATCAATAACAAATGTTTCAATATAAATTCCAGCATTATTAGAAAACTTAATTTTTTGATGTTCATATTAAAAACAAATAGGAATAACATTCTTGTGCCATTTGCAATTTTGGCAGTCTTTATTAAATTTATTTTTCAAGCAATTATTTTAGTGCATTATTTTCAATAAGAATTAAATTAAAATTAATTAATAATTGATTTAAAAATATTATATGCAATGAAAATTGCATATAATATTTCGGCGTGGTAGGCGGTCCGACCCGCCGCTATAGATGTTTCACATCAATAGTTATATTTTTTATATTTCTGATCTGAAAGGCTTTGCCTGAGAGAAAGATTCCCCTTTTCCATCCACGGCCATACTCTATTGCTTAACAAAAGCCTACCATAGTCGACAAGATAACATTATCAACATGTTCAGTAAATTAAAATAACAAATAGTAACTGCGCCGGCTAATACGCTATGAAAAACTACTATCCTTTCCAGGTGGTTCGGAGTCATGCCTCGGGGGAAGTGTGGGCCCGGGCACTGCTTCGGCATACGCATCACAAATGTACTCCGGTACACCAACTCACATGGGTCCAATGGCCTCCAAGCCGGGTATGTTGCTATATGTTTTTTTTTTAAAACGTTATATGTACACTGAGTTGATCTCAGAAAGTTTTACAGGTTAATAATGTATTGCAGATTAATATAAAATAGTCTTTGTTCTTTCTTATTCATGTATAAATAATTACAGAGCATGCTATGTTTAACTATATTAAAATAATTTCGGAAATCAACGCGTCAACTCACAAATGTAATAACTAAAGTTACTCTATTATAAATAATAATAACTATGGTTTAAAAATCATAAGACATTCGCTGTACATGATCCACATTAGGAATAAAATAATTATGTAATCTTAAATCTAAAATAAAATATAATTTGAATAACGCGTTTTAAAATCTGTGTGTGCATGAAGCTACTCTTTTCAAATTACATGAACGAATAATTTTATAAAAATTATGGTGTATGCTATGCGTTCCTCAACAGGCTTAAATGGTGTTTAATTACTTTGTATGAAAGAATATACATACACATGCTTTTATTATAATTTGCGAATTCTTTTCTTTATTTAATAGAATATTCTAAGCTGTGTACCGTCTGTGGGTGTACTTTGGCCTTTATCCATATCACCACGTGTTGGTATGTGTAATGTAAAAGTTGACTAAATTAAATTTAAGATAATAATCTTACCGACTGTTCTTGGGTACCTATGTTACATGTTCATTATATACTCAGTTCTGAAATACTCAGACCAGCAAGCAAAAGTTGAAAACGTCTTTTTTGGATGTATGACTGAATCAACTCATAAGCGCGACGATTACGGCCAAGATGGATTAGAACTTTGTCCAGCAATCGACTGCTGACTGGTTTTGGCTCCCGAATGTAATGATATGACATTGTGAACATCATAGACTAACATAATACTTCAAAATTAACTACAGAGTCGTCTACCCCGCAGCGCGGTCTACTATTGTATACCCCAATAATCTTTTAGGTACAGAACATCTTAAATAATTAAGATGTTCTGTACCTAAAAGTTCAACGTATGTAATTAATTAATTTTTTTATAGGATAATGGTGACAAACGAGTACACAGTCCACCTGATGGGAAGTGGTTGCTGCGGCCCATAGACATCTGTATCTATCCTCTATTACAAATCAAAATGTAGATGCGATGTCACCCGTGAGGACTAAGATGGAATACCTCATTTCTAGTAAAAGGGGCCTCCGGCCACCTGCACTCACCAAGCGAAACGCAGAGGTAAACCTCTACTTCACGCTGGTTTTATGTGAGGTCGTGGTACCACCCCGGTTCGAGCCGGCCCATCCGTGCGACAGCAAAAGCTACCGCGTGGGGCTCTACCACTGTTAAAAATTACTTTTAATTAAAAATTACTTTAGTGCCTTTGGAAACGATGAATATTATAAAATGGTGACGTCATTAACCCGTGAACAGTCCCCTGCTGGACCTGAGACTATCCTAGGTGTGGAGGCGGTATTCATAAGCTGACTGTGTTATTTAATAAGCTGGCGCAAACCATTTGTCATTTATAAATTTCCGCTAATATATGTTTACAATGCGAATAATATTTAAGTAATAAAAACTGATAAATATTTTCGTAACACGAAGTACTTACGAAACAGAAGTGTTTTAGGGTTTAAAGGCGTCGTGATTGACCCGTATCCGGAGAAGTCGTCAGGTATTACGTTATGGAACGGCGAGAAATAAGAGATGGGAATGTAAAGTCAAAATCGCAGCTGACATTTTCTGATGACCAGCACTAGAATACTATTATTTATTTTCATATACTTTTCATAAACTCAATATACAATATGGTATATTTGGTGATAAATTCAAAATTAGCTTCTTGAACAATATCTGGATTTTCTTACTAAACTATTCTCTCAATAATTTTTTATTATGTGCTTAAATCAAATTGACTTTTGAAGCTTTGACTATGTGTTTGTCTTTGCGTATTATGTAATGTAATATTTCTAAGCGTTTTGAAAACATTTTTTATAGGATAGGGTGACAAACGAGGACACAGTCCACCTGATGGTAAGTGGTTGCTGTGACCCATAGACATCTACATTTATCTATACAAATAAATAAAATTGAAGTGTCTGTTTGTAATGTCAAAATAACAGCTTTTTAAACTTATACAACAATTATGATTAATTTTGTTACAAAAATTAATTTAAAATATTAAAATCCACGGCTGAATATAGGGACTTCCCTTAGATTGCCTCATAAAGGAAATATTTGCCATAGTTGCCACGTTTGGCTGACGGATTGGCAGTCACAGTTTTATTTTATTTTATAGTTGTTGAAAGAAAGACGCTGCTGCCCATCTCCTAGTTTGCTTCCTTATGTCGCCTCATGCGAGATACATGGCACCACAGTGTGTTAATATGATTGGAAAATACCATATAATATTTATTATGAATGCAAGGCGAAATCGATTAAATAAAGCATAGCAAACAGACAAGCTTTTGCTTAGCGACGTTTTGTACAAACTCCTGATTGACTGCGTGATGATGTTATAAGAAAATTTATTAGTTTTTTGACGGTCAAAATTCCTGGTTGCAACACAGCCAGTCAAGGGTACGACCTCTGATTATACTTCTTAAGCGTTACATCACAAACCAGGATACCATTTTAAGCAAGTAACGCCTCTGTGTATTATCACTTGGCTTATATGTATACTCAAACGAATATCCCGCGTAGTTAAGTTCACTACGGTGCGTGGAAATTGTCACCTGGTTGTTATTGTCTATAAATATATATATATATATATATATATATATATATATATATATATATATATATATATATATATTATAACAGAATCGCATATTATATTTTGCATCAAATATATTTTTTTCTACATTTATTATTATTACATATACATTACCTTGCGAAAGTTATTTGTTATTAATTTTATAGCGTAATTATTGAATGTGTTTTTGACTCATACAAAAGCCATCATTTTAGTAGAGTTTGTTGTCCTTCAGATGTTTGTCTGTATGTACTTTATTTGATTTCGAATATAGTCACTTCAACGATACAAGTGCAAGATTGAAATATATATTAGTTGGTGACTGGTGTATCATAGGGGCTTGTGTAGGGAGGAAAATGATTGTTCACATTAGTTTGTAGTCGATTTATTATATCGAACCCGAGACGCGTGTTCACATTTTACACGCGTGGTTTGCTTGCTACTTAATCGCTCGACCTACTTACTTCCTATGATAATACCGCGAAGCACGGATCTAAAAATGGTCACGGGTATATTACATTGAATTGTTATGCACTATACCATAAAATGCAAGGTGGCTCTCTTATGGGTCAGGATTGATTTCATTAGCGCTACATATGTTAGTTTCAAAAGTAAAATTACATGCTTCATGTTCTTAATAATATATTTAAGTACTTACTTATCTCTAATTACTTACGTTAATTTTTAATTCCACTGTGAAACCCATTGATTACAAAAGGTTTATATCTATAAACATGTAATACATAGTTTCATTTTGTAAATACACTAGAGAATGCCAACAGATTATATAGTTTTAAATTAATTTTATTTTAACACTAGTAATTTAATAATGCACTGATGTTAATTGAGCGTCTAGACGAGCTGCTGTTTGGGCTAGCGCTGTCCCGCGTCCTTGCTCTATACTCGAAATAACTTGTTCGATCACTTTACCCGTAAAGCCGCGTATCCATCAAAAATGTTGACAACATTTATGTTTCCAACAAGCGTCTCCACCGAGGGAACAAATGTTTGCAACAAGCGTATTCCTTTGATGTTGCCGCCGAAAATGGAAACACGGTTCCCGACATTGTTACAAGTTTTGTTGCCAACACAACAGTTGGTAACAAAACTTTGGTGGAGACGCGGCTTTAGTTTCTTTTCGGCTTTCTGGCAAAAATGTAAAGACATGTTACACTTCTCACAATCGTAACAACACTATATAACATGGCAGAGCCATGCTGCAGCTATATTAGTAGTATAGTTGTAGCACGAATCGGTCGGCTCGACCGGGGAAGGACCACGCTCTCACAGAAAACCAGCGTAAAATTGCAGCTTAACGTTGCTGTGTTTCGTATGGTGAGTGTATAGAACCGGAGACCCTTTTTACTGCCAAAGAGGCATTCCATCTGAGGACTACCTCACGGGTGACAACGCATCTGCATCTTGAGTCTTTATTGATGATAGCTGTAGATGTCTATGGGTCACAGTAACCACTTACCATCAGGTGGACTGTGTTCTCGTTTGTCACCCCATCCTATAAAAAAAAAATTATAGCTTTCTTTGTTTACAGCTTGCGCTTGGTTATCAGCTCCGTTCTAAGCTATTATCACTTCCGCGTTCTTTGACTGTTGCTTGCCCATGTTTTTAAAAATAGACATAAAATTATTTCAAAGGTTATTTTACGTAAAAGAAGTGTCAGTCGGTTGAAATTGTAGATATATTGATTGCTAATTATTCTACTTTCTAAGTTAACTTTTACCGAAATTTAAAAGCTTACATTTAATTCAATTTGCTTAGGAGCTAGTTTACAGAAAACGCACAGGTGGCTTTACTACTCTGCCACTCCGTGTGGTACAAGGAACAAACTTATTATCTACTTTACTTTTTGTGTGCGCATTCTGACATTCATTATTATTTGTACTCAAATCATTAGTTTCTGACTCGACTATATATGCTGGTTTCAACCTTTCAATTGAAGTATTGTTGTGCCTATTAGGGAGTTGTACCCTAAATACCTTATTATTTCTACAACGCTGTAGGGGCCATCGTAAGTAGGCGTGAAAGGTTTTAACCGTATCATTTCTTATGAAAACATGACTGCAATTACTCAAGTCCTTACAGACAAATAATTTCCGTGAATCGCTCGCTCTTCGTGACTGTGAACGGAGATTACTTATAACTACTCGCAATCGTTCGACATACGTGTAATCGTCCCTGTTGTAGTTTGGATTTGTCTCACGGTAAAAATCGTCTGGTAAGCATAATGATTGCCCGTAGACTAACTCGGCTGCACTAAAACATCACACCTACTGGCGGTTCGTAATCCAAACAACAGATAATTCGTCATCACATGATTCATTTTCTGATAACCTGTTTGTTAAAGCGACTTTCAAACAACGGTGCCACCTCTCTATTATCCCATTACTCTGAGGATAGTAGGTGTGGTTCGAATCCTTTGAACTCCTAGTAACTTTAATAAGTTTGCAAAAAGAGTGCTTTTATATGCCTACCTTGAGCGCTGGTTAACTTACAAAGGCACCCGAACCTACATACCCAGTTCTCATAAATAACCTTAGCTACGGTCTCAGCGGTGATATTTTAACGGGTATTGCTGCCGGCCAGTGTGTACAACGGTCTATAATTGTGACGCAATACTTTTTACTATGGCACGTGAATGTGATCAAAACGTTCACTGGGCTCGAATGAACCTATTCCTGTAACAACATGACGTATTACTTTGCTTTTTTGGCATTGTATGCATGTTTTTACGGTTCCGTACCTCAAAAGGAAAAAACGGAACTCTTATAGGATCACTTTGTTGTCCGTCTGTCTGTCTGTCTGTCAAGAGCCTTTTTTTCATGAACGCGTGGAGGTATCAAGCTGAAATTCATATCAAATACTCAACTCTACTGTCCCTTGGAGCTGTGAAAATCAAGCTTCTAAGCCAACGCAATCAAAAGATACAGCCGTTTATGCCGCAAATTTTCAACATTCGCAAGGGAATCAAAACCTACAGAGTACTTCCCGTGAACTCAGAATCTTAAAATTTGGTACGAAGCAACGTATTATAGAACAGATAAAGGAAACATTGCGAAAAGCATAAATTTTTAGTTACATCATATAATAAAAATATTTTTAATAATTTTATACTTATATACCTACGGATTTGTTCGGAACCATCAGTGCACGAGTCCGACTCGCACTTGGCCGGTTTTTTATTACCCATAATCCTACTTATTTGTTCATATTCGGCCAAAAGAACCTCTTAGTAACCATTGAAGGCCGATGTTATGTATAGATTCGAAAACAGCTTTCCTGAATGACGGTGGTACGTAAGGTCTGATATTACCGCCCGCGACGTCATAGTATATACTTTTATTAACGTTGGGAATAACAATTTGCTTTAACTGTAACTTGTTCGACGTGCCGGCGTCCTGTAGCATCTGCGAAATTTGAACGTCGGCTTCCTGCGCTGTTTCTAATTCCTCGTAATCTATGACCGTTGGACAAACAATAGTTTCAATACGCGATAGCGGGTCTGCGACTGTATTATTGTTACCATTGTCATGTTTTATACTGTCTAATTCGCCGAGGAGTCTCTTTACCTTTGTGAGCGCGTATGTCAAAGGCTTGTGGTCTGTGTACACGGTCATTTCCCGCCCTTCTATCACGTTGAGCATCTGATTGTTTTTTTTTTTTTGGGAAATACCCGAGCGGCTTCCAAATACCGTTGATCTTCTATTGCAATACTGCGCCTAAACAGGTGTTCGCGGCATCTGACATCAATCCGGCACAGGATGTACTAATGTTACCGCGTTTGATAGGTCTAACTTACACTTTTCGAACGCGTTGTCGGCTTCACTGCCCCACTCAATTTTTGTCTTGCTCTTCTTTTTCGAGTTATGTAAAAATTTGTTTACATTCATATGACCCAAGTGTTCACATTTTACACCCCAAAACGAAACTGAACTACCCACTTACAAACTACCGCCCCGCCGGTGGCGGTCGTTATCATATTTCTCGAGAATTACATACACATTGACACGGGTGACGCATGTGTGTGCTGTGTCAGCAGCGCCCACAGTAAAACCTAAATTGATATACTTATACTTTTAATCAAGTATGCACCAATGCACCATTGTCCATTAAAACCTATGAAAGTTCACTGTTGAATATAGGCCGCTCTATAGAATGCCTTATAAGCAGTATATTTGCCGCAGCTGCTGCGCTTGGCAGGCAGGTTGGCAACCGCAGTTTTTTATTTTCTAATTATTACTATTCCTGTCCCTTGGTGTGTTTCCCTCTGTCGACTTTTACGACACGCACGACACGATATTGGGTATTTATTGGATATACTTTTATCGCCGTTACACGATTGCACCACACGTAATTAACCAAACCGACAACGGGAAGCAGCGTCGAAGTTGCGAGATGTCTGCACTGCAATCGTCATTGCGCCTGCCAATTCAAGAAGAGGAAAACTCTGCAAACATCGTTATTAAATAAATGGCTTGAAGTGTATATATAAATGGCTTAAAACGATAAAACAAGAGCTCCGGTGTTGATAAATCTCAAGCTACTGTGTTCGTTTTGGCGTCATGAGTTACTATCGTAATTTACCGTCCCTAGGTATCTCACTTTATTCGGGTTCTTTCTTTTTAGGGTTCCGTACCCAAAGGTAACCAACGGGACCCTATTACTAAGCCTCCGCTGCCCGTCCGTCTATCTGTCAGCGGGCTGTATCTCATGTTCCGTAATAGGTATAATCTCACACTACAGGCAGTCTCCGAATGGGGCGATGCCAATCTTGTGAAATTCAACGCGTCCAAAACAAGCGTGTCTCTTCACTGCAAAAAGGAGCCAGCTCACCTTGGCTCCTTCTTTCCGAAATGTATCACTGAAATATACCGACTGCCTTTAGTTGTTAGGGCTTGAAATATCTTCAAATTTGGGCGGTTCATTGAGTCCAAGGCCAAAGCAGCTGCAAGGAAGCTGGGAGTCCTTGCAAAGGTGCGGCGATACTTCACACCGGGACAGCTGCCGTATGGCAATACTCCATGCACAACCGGCAACCATATATGGGCTGGTGCTGCAAAATGCCACCTAGCAGCTTTGGACTCAAAGGAAAGGCATGCTAAGAGGCTTATTGATGACCCGGATTTTGTTAAAACCAATCTTACCGGCCTCGAACACAGACGTAAAGTAGCCAGCCTTTCGGTTTTCTACAGGATTCATTTCGGAGAGTGTGCGCAGGAATTGCATAATTTACTTCCTCCCTCTCCCTTCACCAGACGTTTGGCCAGTCTCCACCCTTTCGTTGTTGACATACCACGCATTCGAACCAAACGGTTCGCCACGTCGTTCATCATTGCATACAGCAAAGGAGTGGAATAAGTTGCCAGCATCTGTCTTTCCATCCGATTACAGTGTGGGTGTCTTCAAGGAAAGAGTGAATAGGCTTTTGTTAAGTTAGTGCGATTCACCACTTACCATCAGGTGGGATCGTAGATATTAGATATTAAAAAAATAGGTAGACAGTTGAAATTTTCACAAAATAAAAATAAATTAAAATTAAAGGGGGCCCTTACTAGAAACGTGTTTACAATGGTACAGAACCCTTCATGCGCGGGTCCGACTCGCACTTGGTGGGTTTTTTTTAATAATATTGGGTTGTTGCATGTATTTTCAAAGAGTGAGCATCATCTTTCTAAGTATTAATTTTATGAAACTAACAGAGCATGAATTCCCTAATGATAAAACTCCTTATTTATGACAGAAAAATATATTTACTTTCTCTTCAATATCTTTAGGATCCATGGAGCAAGGGAAGGTGGATAATATTTCACAGTTAAATTGTTATAACTTGTCACGTGCCATTTATGCCACTAGTACTCATACTCTGTCGTAGAGGTAGTAAACATAGATACCTTGTAGACGCTTTTCCTTTATATTCTAATCTACAGCTAATCGCTGTAACTGTTCAGGGTACCCTTGCTGTCAACTCTATTAGGATCTCACCAACTTTTTAATAAGCTGAAGAATCTGCCGTTATCTAATATGGACTGACGACCGGCCCTGGGTTCGTCTTTGATTTTACAATTCCTCTGTTTAAATATAAAAATCAGTAATACACTGACTAGCTTGTCAGGATCTTCATAAAATGCTTGGAATATTCGCTTAAAAGATGCACTAGCCTTAAGGCCAGAACGGAAGTCGTAAAGAATGTAACTATGTAGTTGTGCACATGTAATATTAAAGTCTCGGTCATTATTACAGCAAACAGAACATAACTGAAATTTTGTAATGGTACACCACCGAAAGTAGCGTTTACATCTTATTGAGCGAAACAAAAAAATATGCAAGAACCCAAAAAAATATTTGTTTCTCATTCATCGTGAACAGAACAAGCCCCTCAGCTAAATAGAAAACATGAAACGCTGTACTATATTATTATTTATAGATTATAATATATTCACACGATATTTACAATATATGTTGATTCATTGTATAATATTCCTAACATGAACTTTTGTCCATAATGTACAGAACAATAAATAGTAGCCTTTATTAATTTTAGTTATTTTTAATTCATAACAGGACTCGCCGCAACATTCTATATGCCAGAAACAATAAGAGCGGAAATATACCAGAGGAACGAAGATGTTTTTCTACACGCTGATCTTCGTCAATTTCCAGGTGACCCAACTATTAAATAAACATCATCATCATAATTTCATCTAAGAAGCCACACGAATGTTTATAATCGTGGATTGAGGGGAATTGAGAGATAAAAACTTGCATCCTAACCTGTTAAAATATTAACTTCTATTCAATTACTATTACGAATAATAGAGGTTTCGAGTGAAACAATCAATAGAAAAACTACCTCTCATTTACTACTTTTTATCTCGCTTTTTTAGTTTATTTTCTAATCACAATGTCACCAATGTCAGGGGGCTCTGAGGTGTTTGACTTCTTTATGCCATCGTAAACTCAAGCTACCTTCTGCTTTTAATTTTTATTTTAGTCCAATATACGGAAAATTAACTTACTATATCTTAAAAGTGGTAAAGCACGGTCGCCGAGCGCGAAAAATTTCGTACAATGATCCGTTATTACTTGTCTCTGTCGGTCACATAATATACGTATTACTACTTTGACCCGCATATAACATTCGATGATCGCCATCATTAGATATTGCAAACCTTTTTGCCATAATAACAAGGCTTCTTATTGTGCAAGTGTTCTTTAAGTTTGTTTTGACATTGTTTTTAATTTTTAAATTAGACTTTTGACGACTTTCTGTATTCAGATGCACTTGTGATTATTCAGTTCTATGTTTAATGGTTTTTGATTTTGAACAGTTCCGTGTACACTGAAACAGAAACTAACTAATTCTAATTAAATATTTGTTTAGAAAACATTCGTTTTATTTTCTTCAAAGTGTCAAACGAACTTCTTGTTCTTCTTTTAAGTTATGGCTTCTCTTGATAGAAGTCAAACGAACTTTCAGTCCATCTAAGTGGCAACTCGTCTGCAGCCAACTTCACACAAAAAAGCTGCCATGCATTGTCACTTCTAAGGGCTTAGATGGAATACCTCACAGCCGGAATCAAACAGGCTCTCAATACCCGTAACCGGAACACGGCAGTACAAGTACCGCTATTTTGGCGGCAGAAATAGATAAGACAGTAGCTTCACTACCCAGATGGTCTTTTAAGAAGAAAGGAAGTACTACCACCAGTAGAATTTTAGTAATAATAAATGTTTTTGATAAATGGCTGAGCATAATGGTTACATATTGCACCTTTCTTTTCTTTTGTTCAATTCAATTCTTTTTTCAATTTTAATTATTTGCGATTGGCAACCGGACTTTATACATGAGATTGGAGTTAATTTTAACACGTTTAGCACTACTGTTATGCCTAGCTTGTTTTTTTTTTTTCAAAATTTTCTTCAGTTGTCGGTGACACAGGATTACTGTACATGAGTGTGTGCAAGTACAGGTACACTCTCTATTCCCCTACTCTCTTAGTCTGATGAAACAGCAATCCGGCACGACTGGAGGAAATTCAGATGCAAGACGGTTTTACGTGCTTCGCGAGACACGCGGTTTCCGCCAGTAAAATTTCTGTTCTGTTAGATTCGATTAGTTTCGTTAGTTGATAATACGAGTAGAGAGTTTTGCGAAAACATGGCTTAATAAAGCTCACATTTCGATGCCTTACTTTGATTCGAGTTAAGGTCGAGTCGTTACAGTATGCGATCTCCGTAGGCGCCCTAAATATGGCTTCATTGCAGTTCTACTAATTCTTCTTCCAGACCTTCCAGAGAACGTTGAGATGTACTCCGAGCTGACACCCCTTGAAGGCATAGCACCCCATTCCATGTCCTCGTCGTTTCGAGTGGTGCATCGTCAGACCGGGGAGCATTATGCTCTACGCCGACTCCACGCATACGCGTCGGTAGCTTCCAAACGTATCGACATGTGGAAGCAAATCGATCATCCTAATGTTATCCGACTACTTGAGTGCTTCACTACGAAGGCATTTGGAGACCATTGTAAGTACTAAACTTAACGTATTGAACCAGTTAATGTTGCTACATAAGTGATTTATATTAGATGTATTTTAATTAAACTTAAAATTAAAAATTCATTTTCTATTTTTTCCATAATTAACAATAGTTCCGTCCAACTGCCAATATAATTTGTTTGAACATAAAGATTACAGAAACATCGATTTGTGTCGTTATTGCATATCATTTGTATAAAGTAAGTTAAAGTTGCAGCCTATATACGTCCCACTGCTGAGCACAGGCCTCCTCTAATTTCTGAGAGGGCTTGTATACTGTCCAGTTTTTTACTTGTTGTTTGTCTAGACCTAATATAGAAGAATATAAAAGTGGTTTACAATGTTCGAACCAAATTTTAATTAAAAGTGCGTTGCACCACAAGTTTCTAAAGTGCTTCTAACTATTGCATTATAAAGTTTTATTTTCGTTTTATGTCACTTATTGACAACAAACCCCAAGGTCTTTTTTGGAGCTTTTAAGACAATATCAGCCACATATTAAAAATTTAATTTCGTGTCAACAATATTGCCTAAATCTTGTATGCTTGTTACTTTTATCAACCTTTTATGATTTATTTTGTAATAATAATATGACCATATTATAATTGTATTACAACATTAAGAAATAAACATTATTTGAGTAGAGTAATTTATTTCAACACATTAAATTTCTCTTTCTATAAGTTCATATTAATATTTTTAAACCAGAAATCTGTCAACTTCTTTCTGCAGTAAGATATGATCTGTTATTGTTCTTATAGGCTTAATGATTTTTAAATAAACCACAAATAAATAATCGTGAGAGTTGTGAAAATAGGTCATAATATTATTTATATATTATACTAGCTGGCCAGGCAGACGTTGTTCTGCCCTTTTCGACGACCCTTCATATAAAAAATCCTTAAATTCGTAATAAAAAATATTGAGTGTCACTTATGAGGATAAAAACTATCCTATCTCTCAAGTTGGACCAAACTGCACAGAGTGTGCAAAATTTCATTGAAATCAGTTCAGTAGTTTAGGAGTTCATCGCGGACAAACAACGTGACACGTAATTTTTATATATAAAGACTAACAATTTAAATTAAAAATATCGAATTCCCCGAAACAAAAAGAGCTGATGATCTTCAAACGACTGAACAGATTTTGTTGAAACATAGCTTCTTAGCTAGCTATACTCTCAATCAAGTCACCTTTCAAACAAAAGAAAACTAAATGTAAGTCGGTTCATCCATTTGGGAGCTCAGTGCCACAGACAGACACAGATTCACAGATACACACGTTAAGCATATAACAATCCTCTGTTTGCGTCGGCGGTTAAAATAGAATTGCACCAAGTTGTGGCTCCTGAGGAAAGCCAGATAATTATTTTCAATGTTGTGATAAATGAATTAAATTGAAATGAATCTCTACAGGTGCTAATCCACCTTTTTGTAGAATTTTAAGGTGTTTAAAAATTGATGTGTCCAGTCTGTAAAGAAATAACTGCCTTATATTAAGCTGAAGTACTTGCATACCATTAAGACATAAATAACCATTTTTGTTTGCCTGTCTGTCCAGGCTCATCAGCCTAATGTCTGAACCGATCATAATGAAATTTCACGAACAGTTAGAGAGCAATGCCAGGAGTGGATTAGGCTGTATTTTATCCGAAAAACTCGGAGATTTATTTAAAAAAATGAAAACTTAAATGGTCTTTGATTATTTTAAATCTAAATAATGCCACATTAGTAGATACTAACAGGTGAAGCCGGGGCGGATCGCTAGTATCAAATAAAACTGAAATTGTGTTGTAATATTTATTCAAGCAAGGTCCTTTATGAACGATTTCAAAGAATATTTACGAAAAGTATTATAATTGATTTCTTGTTACAACAGCCATGGTACTGGTGTATGAGTATCATCCTGCCTGTGTGACCCTCATGAACAAATATCTGTCTGGCACTGGCAATGGCAACGCGTCTGACTCCAACGGTGCCTTTCACGACCCATTCTCCTCAGATCCAGATGCACCACGTCCATACACTCATCAGGTAATTACTTTTTTCTACTTGTTAACTGACAAACACATGTTCTATGTTATTGAATGATTGTCTCAATCATCACATAAACTTGTGACACTATTTTATTTCATACTAGCTGTGCCCGCGGCGTAGCTCGCGTATACAGGTTTTACATAAAGAATTTGTCGTTTAGGTAAGAGAATATTAAACGATTTATTTTATTACTGTATCAATAAGTGGTAACTAAATAAATCATTATCATCAAAGTTCTAAGTCGTTTATGATAGAGCTTCTGTGCAAACGACGTTAGAAGTAGGCTTAGCCGGGGTGTACACAAAAAGGTTACGGGGGCTACTAACGCGGGAAAAAGCAACATAGAGTTGGCCATGTGCAAAACAGTCAGTACTGAGGTACACTCCTACAACGCGTAAAGTTTGACTTACGGTCATCGCATAACACACGCTCACTGTAGCTGGGAACTGAACGCGCTTAAAACTGAAAAGAAAGTTACTTCTTAATAGAGGGTTTTTGGGCAGTGCTGCCAGCTAAAAAAACTCATTCAGCTCTAGGACAACACAAAAAGCGCTAGATTTCATAAAAACAGCGCTTTAAAAAAGCCCTAGATTTCGCGCTAAATTAACTACAAACAAAGTTTGTGTTTTTTTATATAATCATAATAAAGAAAACAACATTAAGTTTTTTTTCTGGCAATATTTTTTTGATGTATCAATACTTCGCAGGACATCGACTTATAATTATATCAATTGCTGTCAACAGTAGTTAGTACTGTACGAACAATAAAAATGTCATTAATTGTTTTAAAGTGCAATGTATTTCGCAACTTAGTTTCAGATGTCAGCATCTGATTGCGGTTGCTACACAGTTTCTTTGTGTTATAACTTCTAAGTAACTTTTAACTTAGCTGTGCTCTAAGCAACTGACTGAAACTGAATAAAGCAAAATAAATGCGTTGCCAAAACCATGAACGAAAACTTTAATAAAGGGGATTTCCCCGCTTATAGTCGTCGGTAAAAAAATCAAGTTGATCATCCTAAAGGGGAAGCCAGGAGATCCATAGCACAGGGTATCCTAGTTTGGACTCGTCTCCCATGCTCTTTGCTTTGTGGAAAAAATATGTTTGAAAAAGATAAACTGCAATGTACTATTTGTGGGAAAAAATAATAAAGGTCATTATTATTATTATCGGTAATGTGGACTAACAGTGCTGCTAGAAAAGAGTTAATAATCCGCTAGTCGCTAAAATATTGAAATGTGTGCTAAATACACCAAAAAGCGCTGGATTAAGCTAGTGCTAAAATTACGAAATGCGCGCTATACATTCCAAAAAAGGGCTAAATCTAGTTCCCAAAGCGCTAAAATGGCAGTACTGATTTTGCGTATATTATAAATACAATATCACGACATTTCGTTGCAATATTTTTATTTTTGGTTCCGTTGTATGGCTTCGATGGTTACAAATTTCTTCAGTAAGTCTCAATACGATTCATCGGCGAAAAATCTCAACACAGCAATTCAGAAAAGTTTGTAATTTGTACAACTCCATCTATTACGTCCTTTGTGTGAGAAAACATCCTTTTTAAATCTCTTTTTGTGTTTTAAGTATAAATATATTAATTATTATGGAACGTTTTTTTTTACACACAAATCTTTTTATTACTATTTCTGAGATTTTATGGCGCCATTGAACAAATTCGAACCTACATTTCAAAATAATAATCATTACTTTCGATAGAAAAACCAATTTTAATAAAACAAAGATTAAATGTAACTCGAAGATACGCTTTATGATTTTCTTAACGATTTCTTTGAAAATAAAAGATGTTTACTTTAGACGTGATGCGTTCATATAATAACAGACAAATAGATAGACAGACAATTCTAAAAATTATAAAATGTTCTTATTTAATTATTTTCAGTTCCCCATAATGATTTTAGCCACCAAAATATATATACAATGTACAGAAAGAGACACAACATGTTATCATCATTTTTATTATATGTATATATTTAAAGAGAGATGGCGCTGCTAACATCAATTCTAAAAATAAAAGAGATTAATTGACGCGATTGATACATTATATAAAACGCAAGAGAACTTATAAATCAGTGCCTGCACAGTAAGCAAAAAATAAAGTTTGACTCTCGCCAAAACCAACGCAATTGTTAATAGCTCTTTTAAAATTTGATTTACCACATAGAGTACTCGGCGGTAAAGAATAAATTGAGTTTGTCAACACGCAGTAGGGCAGCGAGTAATATAATAAAGATTAGCAGTAAATATGAAAACTCATCTACAGGAAAAAACCACATTGCAATTGCATTACATTTTCACAACACCACCATCTATCGAAGAAATGGGTTAACTATTGTGCTTCAGATTTAGTTAATAAGGTTAATATATTTTTGTATAATATATTTAATACGTTCTTTAATACTTTTGTTTACTGCGTTTTAGATATACATAATTATATCATTATTTTACATAATTTAACTATTATTTATGATATGATATTAGTTTAAAATGCGCGTTTGATGACTCAAACAAAGCGACCGTTGAGCAAATTCGTACCTATACTTCCCTACCCATACTTCAGAATATTTATCATAACTTTTGATAGAATGAACTGATTTTAATGAAATAAAGACTAAATGTAATCCGAAGATACACTTTATAATTTCCTTAACAATTCTTATGATATAGATTAGTACTTTATACGTGATACGTTAACAAACAAACAGACAGACAGACAGAAAATTCTAAAAATGGTAGAAATGTATTTAATTACTTATTTTTAGTACCCCTCAATCACTTTTATTACAAAAATATAAAATGTACAGACATCTGCTATTTACAGTTTTATTATATGTATAGATTTGACACTTTATAGTCATGTTTGAAATTAACCAGGATGATTTTTTACGGATTTTATCGCGTTTAATTTAACTTTTTAATTCCCGACGTTTCGGATGCTTTACAGCACCCATGGTCACGGAGGGGGGGGGGGGATTAAAAAGTTGAATTAAACGTGATAAAATCCGTAAAAATTAGTTTCATTTAATGGGTGGTTTTCGCGTAAATATAAGAAATCATTATTATCATATATTTTTCGGCGGTGGGCGACGTGCGCAAAATAATTTCATATATATGCAATATAGAATTTATAACATAAACAATAAAACCAACAACTTTTTGACAACTCTTAAAAATATATCACTTAATTTGTATGACAGAAAATCTCATTTCAACCCCCAACGAGTTTTAAAAACGAGCCCATGGGAGCTTTCTTATATTTATATCACAATATAGTATATTAGAGTTAATGCCACATTGTCCTGAGTTAAGAGTTTTATTTGAATCTTATATGTGGTAGAGCCATGCTGCAGCTATATTAATAGTATAGTTGTAGCACGAATGGGTCGGCTCGACCGGGGAAGGACCACGCTCTCACAGAATACCAGCGTAAAATAGCAGTTTAACACTGCTGTGTTTCGTATGGTGAGTGTAGAGAACCGGAGACCCTTTTTACTGGAAAAGAGGCATTCCAACTTAGTCCTCACGGGTGACAACGCATCTGCATTTTGATTCGCGAACGAGGATAAATGTAGATGTCTATGGGTCACAGAAACCACTTACCATCAGGTGGACTGTGTGCGCGTTTGTCACCCTATTCCTATAAAAAAAAAAGAACGAAGATTTGCACGAACGATCATTTGCAGTGTCTGGAGTGTAATAGGTCAACGAACTTCAAATCCTACATACTCCAGGGAATCATCCCTCGCTTCCGATTTCTGGTCCTCTGGGTATGGACGCGCTAAAGAAGACAGTTCGTGTTATTTTTATGTTTAATATATATTTTTAGGTTAAGGTATATAATGCTATGGGCCAATGTTCTTAATTTTTAAGTTCTTGATGCCTGAAATAAAGTTATTGTATTGTATTTTATGGGAGGGGCCTATGTTCACCAGTAGACATGTGATGGTCTGTAATGATAATGATGATATGGACAGTGGGTAGCAGTATTTGATGATTCATTGATAGTTATGCCGTAGTGTTTATGATGATGTGACTTTATTTAACTATTTAAAAAACTTAGCATAGCAAAGGAAAAGTTGAAGGATTAAGAAGTGTATTACTTTAAAATATTAAGACTATTTATTATAATAGGTTTCAGGTGAGATTCAAATTACATCTTATTTGTATTATGTAATTAATATGATTTCAAAATCATGTTAACTACATTGTATAAAATAAGGCTCGCCTTAGCTTATTATATAATTTTTGTCATTCCCACTACCATTGATATCTACATACATTGTTATTAGAATTATGATATTATATCTTATTTTTTAGGTATAATATAATTAAATATCTGATATGTAATTGAACAGAAAAACGCTATGCTGCGTGCTGTAGCCTGTGGAGCTCTTCTACCTGAAGCGGTACTCTGGAGCCTTCTCGTTCAGCTGACTGCAGCCTTACGGGCCATACACACCGCCGGTCTTGCTTGCAGGTTATTATTTTATCAAGATTACTAAAATTATACAACTGACACGACATAACACATAATATTATCATATGGTCATAAAAAATCGTGCAATCAATCAATAATATTTGTTACTTAACAAACCCAGAAAATAGCTTTAAATCATTTTACTCCAATGTCAATATAAGATTTATATTTTTAGTAATGTAAATAACTGTTTTATAGTAGTTATATTGAAAATGGAAACCCATACATAATAATATAACTTCTCATCACAAAAACTAACCACATACTACAGACTGTTGCACTGTGAGCAAGATAATAAATTAAACAGTTAAATTAACCTTATCTTATTGTGGGTACAATACAATTCATCAGATTACTAATAATTATACCTTATTAGTCACAAATACACTACTATAATGTATATATATATATATATATATATATATATATATATATATATATATATATATATATATATATATATATTAACGACAACGGTAAAATTATATAATTTTCTGTTTTAGCTGTTCTACGGTTACAGAGTATGTGTTACTCCTTTCCCCTACATATTTTCCGTGCTGTACTTTTGTTTCTTTTGAAAATTTACTCCAAGCTTATATTACTGAGAACTCTAAATATTTCACCACCACTTTCTTGTATCTATCCTACTTTTTTTATCTATCATCATCATGTGATTTTATTCATGATTTTTTAAAATTTAATTATATAATCTATATACATCTATCTCCCTTATAGCCATTTGTTGTGAAAAATTCTTTGCATACTTATAATGAGGTAGTCTGGAAGAAATCGCTTCCGGAGCGATAGCCAACTTTCTTTATTTAATTATGTTTTTGTTTCAATGTGTATTAGTGTAAAATAAAGAATATATTGATTGATTCATTAAAACCTGCATCAAAAAAAAAATAGTTTACACTTTTATAATAACTTTCATCACCTATTTTTCCCCTTAGGGATAGATAATGCTTAAAGACGTGTTACTTAGATTCCAATTGAAAGCTAATCAAAAGACGAATTCTTAAGGATAAAATTAACAAAAATGCTGTTTGAAGAATCGCAAAATAAGAATTCATTTATTTTACTTACAGAGTAATTTTGGTAAGTTTCGAGTCAATCGCTCCGTAAAATAAAAACATTCTTAGAAACTGTTGGAAAAATTCTGTGAAACACTCTATTTCACCCTCTTGAGGGTTGAATGTTCCAAAATCCTTTCTAAGTGGATGTCTACATAATTAAAGTAGTAAGTTAGTTTTAAGACCGTAATGGTAGATTTTTGAAGAAATTAAAAAAGGAGAATATTATTAATTTTAATTCTAGAGTATAATTATGCAACAATTTTAAAATTTAAAAAAACATTAATTCTTTTTTCTCCATATAAATTTGAACAGCCTCTGGCCCCCAGAGGTTGTTTTGAATAATCGCTAAATTCAAATTAATTTATTTTACTTACAGAATAATTTTGGTAAGTTTCGAGTCAATCGCCCCGTAAAATAAAAAGTTTCACACACACTGCAATACCCTATTTCACCCACAGGGGTTGTTTTCCAAAATCCTTTCTTAGTAGGATATAAATTAATAGGAATCCTTTCTTAGGATGTCAACGTTATAAAAGGCAGCTGCTGTCCAAATTTCAGATTTTTACATCAAGCAGTTTGGGCTGTGCATTATCAGTCATTCAGGTCATTCTATTGCATGCCTTAAGCGCAAAGCGCGTAGGTATGTTCTACTAGCGCCTAAAAATCAAAATTCCAACGTTTTTTTCGTATAAAATCGTATCTAACAATCATATTGAACATATAAATGATATAAAAAGCACATTGTCAGAATTTTATATACCTTCTTTATATATAAAAATTACGTGTCACATTGTTTGTCCGCGATGAACTCCTAAACTACTGAACTGATTTCAATAAAATTTTGCACACTGTGTGCAGTTTGGTCCAACTTGTGAGATAGGATAGTTTTCATCCCGAAAAGTGACCCTCAATATTTGTTATTACGAATTTGAGAATGAGTTATTTTAAAATAAAAGCAGCCCAAGTTACTCTTTATAACATCAGCTATCTGCCAGTGTGTGTAAATATTGACAAATATTGACATTAATGTTTATACCATACTAACGTCACTTAATTGTTTTGCCTTTCCGGAACCCCTCCAATAATACTTAAACTCTATGGTATGGTATTAAAGTTCAAATTGACTTTTAAGTATTATTACGAATCTTTTGTATGGGAATACAGAAAAGCGTTGTTCTTAGACTTTTCAGGCATTTTTTTTAAATTTTTCTCTCCGTAAAAACCATCTTTGTACTTCAAGGAATATTATAAAAAAAGAAGTAGCGAAATCGGTTTAGCTGCTCTCGAGATTTGCGCTTAGCAACACATTCAGCGATTCATTTTTATATTATAGATATATACTACCACATTACACTCAGTTTAATTTAATTTAGATTTTTAGTATTTGTACTAACGTTAGTAACTCAAAAACAAACTCATCGGGAGTTAGTTACGGATCGTGTGATAGCGGTGTAAGATTAGCCACTATCCTATATCTTTGTGCAGGTGTCGTAAGAGTCGAAGGGGTGTAACAAACCAAGAGATGAGCGGCGTCCTTCTAATAACAACTAGAGCTAGACTAAATTAAAAATTTACGGTTGCAAACCTGCCTGCCGAGTGTGGCAACTATGGAAAATATATCCCTTATGAGACAATCTGTAGGGTGACCTAGTTTCAGCATTGGACTTTGAAGACTGTAAGGATAATTCCATTGCTGAAGATGATAAAGAATGTAATGATGATGCTGCAGTTTCACCCACATGATATACTATTCTTAATCGATGTCGAGTTTCCGTTTGCGTTGTTCACTCTAGTAGCGCAGATACTTACTAAAATTATTGTAATGTTTTTGTATGTAGTTAGGTATAGGCATTTTATGTTTGTATGTTTATCTTTTACTAGCTTACGTGACGGTAATATGGTCATCCGATTAATATGGTCACTTTCTTATGACTCAAAAACTACAGCTCTTCATCAGTCTTATCAAATAATAAAAGGTGAAAAGGGCACTGCTTTATCAACGCCATTTTGACATTTAACTGTATAGTAAATGTATGGTCATTAACTGTTGTTTTTTAATTGATTCTAAATGATTTGTATTCTTAGAGGAAGATTCTCAAAAGACGCTGCTGTTTTGGCTTCCCTGGACTAGGATGTTAGGCTGTTTAGAAAGTTGTGCTTTCTTTTAGACATATAGCTATTTTAGTTTAATAGATTTGCATAAATAATTAGATAATTCAGTAGTTTAGCCTGTAGTTCTTGAAAAATCTAAATAGACCTGCTGTAGTTCAGGTTCCAGAAGATAAAATGATTCGTTTTTGTAAAGATACAGGGTTATTTTGCAATAACCGGCCAAATTGGCAGAGAAGGTTCAGAATAACTAATGTAGGCAAATGAAGAAAAATTAAAAAAAATCTCAAACATTCTGTCCTTTTTATCCTTTTAATTCAAAATTCGTGGTAATGCGTTATTTTAACTGATTTTACTCTGCACGCACACACTCGTAAGAGTCGATCGGTAGGTGAAACGTTGTTGCCCATAAATCACATTCAATTTGGGATAATTTGAAATAAAAGTAAAAACTTATTTACTCGTATTTTCAAAAACGGCAATAACGGTATATCATTGCTTTTATATTTGAACTAAGTTTAAAATTATGGCTGCTCTTTGAAAAAAAACCCTGTATGTTATTATACCTCAGTAAACTTAAAGATCACCTTAAAATTAACAATTCGAAGTAAGTATACCGTGACGCTGATTTTTACTACAATTATTGCTAATTTTAACTATATATTACGAATAGATTTACTATTCATGACGAATAAGCTTGTAGCATGGTATTTTCACGTATTTCTGACCATTTTTTTTCTTTATTTATGGTTTACATCCAATTATATTAATACATAATTAATTTTTAAATTAAGTTATTACAGAAGCCAGTTAGTTTTCACTAACTAATGTCACATACTTCATCATTGAGTTTACGTAAAGGTAATGTTAAAACAGTCTGACAATGAAAGAGAATGGACATGAAAACCCAGGGACTATATAATGTAAGTCAAGATAAGTCATCGCACGCCGGTAAACTAGTCAAGCAACGTTTATTGTTACGACTCAATTTACAAATACAATATATATTTCGAACTATGAACTTATTTTCAAAATAAAATTAGCCTCTGTTACTTAAGGACAGTGTTTCTTTTTATTAGCGAAATAATAATATTGGAATTGAATCTGTTAGAGAGAGATCTAGAGAGATTCCCCGCATACAAATAAATTTCACCTCTTTATTATGTTAATATATAATACAGAAGAAGATGAAATCTTAATAAGCTAGAGTTTTCGAAATGTTGCATTTTTTATAAGACACAATATGTGTATCTATTTGCGAAACAAATGCCTTGTCGTTCATATCTTAAAGGCTGGAAAGGGTAATGCAATGGAAATTGATATGAGTATGTCTCGCTAATCCGGTGTGATGAAATTTATATTCATTTTTTACTTTTATGCTTGCTTGCGGTTTTCACGGTAATGTGCGGAGCGTCCATAGTAGAATATCGATCGAAACAATATCTTAATCTGCGGTAGTGACATATTGTTGATGGTTAGCTTAGCACCTCGGTTTGGTATCACCTCGGGATAGGTTTGGGAACCTTGATTCTACTCATACATTTTTAATAGGTATATGAAATGTAAAATTAGGACCACACAACACAAGGTTAATTTTAATGAATATTTATATAAATGTGATATTTTAAACATCTATATATATTTTGTACTAAGTGAGGTAAGTGTCTGCACTCGGCTTATTGATTGACCATTAAATATGAAATACAAATGAAGTAAATTCCTAGTGTCAAATATTATTTACTGGTTACACCATATAGTTTGCGTCCATAGTTATACCTTATATATGCCTACTTCAGGCACCAGCTTCTCACATAATAAAATTCTGTTTATGTACTACTAGATTTACATTGTTTTACTTTATGTTATGTGAGAAGATAAATAAAGACTTTATTATTAAAAAAAAATAGTAAGGTTAAGAAGGAAGCTCGATAATATCTACTGCTGGGCTCGCAATTTCTCGCGTAATTTCGAGAAGATGTTGGAGCAGGGAAAAGTGTGCCTTGGTGCACCGACGAATGTTGCGTCTTCGGAATATACCTCAGAAATACAGGTTTGCAAATATCTTGCTTCACTGCCAACCAAATGTAAATCAGCACTTACAATTTAAACTAAAAATATCAGGATGGGACGGGAAGTTTTAAATTTGTAAATAAATTTTCTGCTTGGTTTTAAAAGATCCTGTTATATTTGCACACTGTAGGACTTTAGACCCAACCAAAGTGGTGATGAATGGGTGTCGAGTACGCATCGCTTGGTGTGGAACAGCGGACATCGTGCACCCTAATACGAACGATGTTGCACAGGTATGTGTAATAAAGAGATATTTATTTTTATTTTCTTCACTTTGTTTTAGCTTCGCCTGTCACCTGTAATAGGTGGAAACTACGGACTTCCAACTGGTATGATCCTGACATGCCAAATGGAATTCATATATTCCATTATATGCACACATGCTCGTCGGCTGAGCGTATCTTCAATATATAGTCAATTTAGTTGATAAACTGGTCAAGTTAAGATAATAAGTAAGTAAAGGGGCTGTAAATGGCCGTTAACATGCTTTACATACAAAATGCTATCATTTAACATCACAAGGGATCTTGGTCAAATGTTGGTATTTTTATGATTAGAAAATATGACGTGATAATAATACTATAAATAAATATTTTATTATTGAAATTCTTGTTTACGGTAGGACCTGTAACCCTCCGTACGTAGGAGGGAGAGACAGAAATTTTTTAAATTGTTTGAATCCAACCCATAGACATTGTTTGTGCTAACCAAAGAGTACAATCTTTTTTTAATATACATAATATTAGTTAAGTTTACAATGGAATGCCTCATAACATTTAATCATAGGCTTTCTTAGCCTTTCAAACCAGACTCAACAGTGGGTACGATATTGCTTGGTGGCTGAAATAGGTAAGAGGATTGTAACAACCCAGCGGGACCCTTGTCGGACGGCACGAAGCGGAAATCTAGCTCTTACCATATGTGTAATAAATACTAATAGTAATAAATAAAATACTCAACGTCAAGTCGCTAAAAATATGCAAAGGTTGTCACAAAAACATTTACTTAGATAATAATATCATAACATTATATTTTATCAGTATTCCTCGCAATAATATATCTTTCTATACAAAGATAAAAATTAATACTTTACAAAACTAGTTGCATTCCGCAGCTTCACCTGATTTGTCGTGATGCAAACTAAGGCTAGTACCTACCTTATTTTATTTTATCTTACCTATATTGCAGTATCTCTGGCATTCCGCTTAAAATATTGGATAGGGGGTTGAACAAAATGAATACAAGTGGTAAAATTAAAATATTTATACAAGCGAATTCAATATAAATTATTAAGGATAACTCAAAAACTACTGGTCAGACCTTGATCAAATGTATATGGGACCACATAAAAAGCACAAGGTTTCAAATAAAAAAGAATATTCGAAATCGGTTCACCTAGAAAATAGTTATGAGGTAACAAATAAAAAACGTACAGTCGAATTGAGTACTTCCTCCTTTTTGAAGTCGGTTAAAAACAGGTTAAAATTATACGCTGGTTATGTTTTTTCAACCACCTTACAAATATGCAACCGACAAAGATTTATGACATTTATTATTGTTTTTTTTTTTTTAAATTGTCTTTTTGAATTTAATGACTCAACAAAAGACAATAAATTCTAAGATAATGAATTCTCATCATTACATAAAATTAAATTGAAAATCTTGATGGAAAGCTATCACATGGTTATTTATGCCATCAGGATCTTTCCCAATATTTAAAAATAATACCCAGTAATATCATCTTGTTGGGTGAACAACAAACGCGTGCAACTGATTCCGTGTACCTGACACTCCTAAATTGACGTACCGGTACGCAAGCGAAGCCGACCGGTACTACCGAAGACGTCGCGGGCAGGTGGGGGGGGGGGACTCCGTTTTCCTTCATACCGCGCCCCATCGTTGCTCCGTATAGTCGCCGAGTTGACTCCCATTTTTATTACACATATGCCCTTACCTTGCACCTACCACAACGACGAAAGTTTGTTACGAAAATAGTTACATAATAATCTTTTTACAGGCGCAACAAGACGACTTAACAGCGCTGGGTCGTTTGGCGCTCGCCCTTGCTTGTCGCACCATACACTGCGACAACCTGGCTGCCTCTATGGAACTAGTTGCCAGAACTTACTCCGCGGATCTTAAAAATCTTATACTGTATGATAAACCACGACACTTTCAATAATTTAGCGGCGATTTTTGCTTTCTTATTTTATTTTGGATTTATTTATTATTTAAACATAATTTACAACACAAATAATAATAGTAAGTTTACACAGGTTTATGGTTTTATATCGTAAATGTTATAAAGTTATTAAAGGGATAATCACTGAAAGATATTAGCACTATGCTCAATCACTACAATAGTGACTTTTAAGGGATAGGTCTTATGATTAATATCGACACTACACAAGTCATGTGTAACAAACATGTCACATCTATGACGATAGTTGTTAGGAAGACATGCTCGAAGTTGGTGACGAGTATTACCTTGGACAAATAATCTGACTAGGTAAGTCCAATTTCGACCGGAAGGTCAAACAGTGAATCAAACTCGGCAGCAGTGTTTGGAAGATCACAACATATTTCCTCGTCAAGTATTACTCAAAACTTGGAAATAAGAGTGCACACAACAAAGCATTTTACATTTAAGAGAATTTAAATAGAGTGAAGCAAGGGTCCTAAAGTCTGTGCTCGGAAGCTTGGTAGGAGCTACATTACTAAACTAAACACATGTGATGGCAAAACCCTCACTTAAAAGCCTGATGTACTCGCTGAGATCGAAAGCTATTGTGGTGCACTACATGCCTCACAAAATCAAGTAAATAATATATATAAGCCTCACTAAGCCGACACTTTACTTATGAACTGCCAGATGGAAATCCGATGTCCAGAGGAGATCAAGTTGGCAATCGGGCAAGTTAAAAATAGAAAAACCTCAGGAGGGGGACCCAGTTACAACATCGCTCTTGAAAGCGAAGGGATAACCATTGCTAAAAGGGCTCTGCCGTATTTTCAACTGCGTCTTACGAGATGCAAGAACTCCAAAGGCGTGGAGCAGAAGCATCATAGTGTTGTTTTACAAGAAAGGTGAGAAGACAATGTTAAAAAATTCTCGGCTTCACCATCAGAGCAGGTTAGGCTTCGAGGAGGCTATGGCACCATAGACCACATCCACACAGTAAGGCGAATTATACAGAATACGAATGAGTATAATCAGCGTCTTGCCTGTGGACTATGAGAAAACCTTTGACTTCATCGAAACTTGAGCTGCTGTTGATTCCTTGCAGCGTTGCTGGATTAACTGGCGATACATAGATGTTTCCAGACATCTAAACACCACAAGCTAGGTATCGGTTCAAGTACAAGGTGGTCTTACAAAAGCTATTCAGTTGCATCGTGAAGTGAGACAGGGGACATAATATCCCCGAAACTGTTGAAGATGTTTTTAAGACGCTTAAATGGAATGGACGAACTCATCTCACACTTATGCATTGCCGATGATATCGCCGTCATAGCTCATCGCTGCAGGAACTATAAGACTTGCTGAGCAGCCTAAATGAATCTAAGAATGAATTTAAATACGACGAAAGTCATGTCATACCAGATTCAATCATGGTTGATGATTAGTTTCTTATAGCTCATCGAGAAGTTCTAATTATGGTACTGCTGGAAAATATAAACTGTGCTTTTATAGAAATCGTTTTATAAATCGTTTATTTTTATGTAAGATAATCATTTAAAATACAATAAGTGGTGTTCAAAACATAGGTTAGTAATTCAAATTATTTAAACTTACTGAGTCATGAGCTAATTTCGTTTCTTCATTACAGCCCTTTACAAGTCCACTGCTGAACATAGGCCTCTCCCAAGGAATGCCACAAAGCACGGTCCTGAGCCACCTGCATCCATCGATTCCTGCATATCTTACCAGATCGCCGCTCGAGAACCTTTTTTTCCCCATCGGTTGTCGGTTCTTCGAGCTATATGGCCGGCCCATTGCCACTTCAGCTTACTAATCCAATACATAGTACTAATAAATAATATTATTTAAACAAAATGTTTCAAAATATTTTTAAACTACTTAATAGCTACTATAATTTATATTATGTGGTAGAATGACACTGTCAGAAATTATGACTGCAATACGAATATGCTTCACGGGGGGGGGGGGGGGGGACCTGTTGCAATACAGGCTAAAATTGTAGCATAATACTGCTGTTTATATGAGGGCATCATCCTACCAGGATAATTATAATACTGCCACTGTGGTGTGTGTGTATGGTGGGGGATGCGTGCTCTTATGTGCCTACAGTATATCCCACACAGTTGCTAGCTTATGATAGTATTCGGAAGTTGTTTCCATGGTTGGTCAACTAAAAGAATGCCATATTCGTACATTATGTAAGGTCAACAACAAAGTTTTTATAGTTTATTCTTTTCGTTACCGTTACAGCCTATCTAGAGTCCACTCCAGAACATAGGTTTCTCCCTTAAGTTGCCTCATAGAGGGGATATTTGTCAGTTGTACGTTTGGCAGCCTGATTTGCACACGCTGCTTTTTACTTGTAGTTGATATTAATAAGAACTGCTAAGAAGGGTTTGCCTCTGTCGCCTCTAACAACACCCATGGGTGTAGATGGAAAGACATTCTCACAACGCCAGGACACGGTCGGATTATTCTTATTACAATGAATTTCTATTTCACTTTTAATGTTTTAATATTTTACAATTTTATATTTACAATGCTGTCTTTTTAAATAAGGTACTTGTTGTCAACATCAACCGCTCGTCGCTCCGTAACAGATCTCATGCCTATGATAGGCGCCAGATTTTACACTCAGGTGTGTATGCATTTACCTATTTTTTTTTCAATGTCATTTGTTATAGAACACTAAATAAACTAAATCATTCATAAAGATCTTCTTGGTTGTAATTAAGTATGGAAAACATAAAAATTTTAAATTACTATTTCTAAGCATTAGTATTATAACAAGAATGAAGGGTTAAAATATTTTTTATAACAAGTTGTCAACAGCAAACGCGTTAAGACTTGCTATTTGTATCAGGTTGAAGCTTTGGAGCGAAGAGCCGACGTATTTGAGGAGCAATTGGCCAGGGAGATTGACAATGGCCGGCTTCTGCGTATTCTGGTCAAACTTGGAGTGGTTAATGAACGGCCTGAGTAAGTACCGCAATTTCGTATATTTTCTTTTTAAATAGTCTCTACAAAGCTTTTTAAATAAAAACAAACAAGTATAAACACTTTATATTTTCGAGTCCAAAAAGATAAGCTTCAGTATAGAAATACAGAATTACTTACTTTTTGCTGCTTTACTATTATCTTAACTTGTATGTATGTATGTATCTTTGTATGTACGAGTATATACGAATTAATGGATTTTTATTCAGTTTCACACAGTTCCAGAATTCTAAATAATCTGAAAAGCACTACTTACTTACTAAGGGAATAACTGCACTCTAAAACTTGTGTCGTACCTAATTATCTTGTCTTGATTAATCTTTTTTTTTTAATTTATAAGTGATGCAACCTTATTTTATAATAAGTAAAAATAAATTCATTACTCACCCAGATTTTGAAGAAATTTTATTTTTCCTGTGATCACATGATTTATTGTTCCCTATTGATCACATGATCCTGTTGTATTAATGTACACCAAAGTTGCAGCCTATAATAGTTGCAAAAGTTTCTGTCCTGAACTATAAAGAATAAATCTCAAACCACTATCATTATTTTTAGATATAATTTCCCTTTATTTCAATACACTTATCACAGCGCTTTACTAACTTTTCTATATCCTTAAAAAATTCTCTAAATTTATGCGCTCAAAATGTGTCAAAACTACTTACTTCACCTCATCATCAGTGTGATTTTTTTCTTCTCCGTAAATCGGATTTCAATTTTAAGACTAAATAACATAATATGGGCTGTATGGTGGATGGTCGAGCTCAGCGAAAAACGCATTCCTTAATAGCAGCCTTTTAGAAACACCCGATGTGTGAACCGGAGCAATGTCATGAAGAAACAACTCTTCTTGTGAGAATACCTCTCTATGTTTTTCTTTAGTAGCATCTCGCAATTGATGCAGCAAGGAAGCATAGTAATCGCCTGTTACTGTTGTATTGCGTTCTTTAAAATTCACCAGTAAAATTCCTTCGGAATCCCGACAAATATTTACGACATTTATTATTGGGTTTTTTTAATAGTCTTTTGTTGAATTTACTGATATAATGAATTCTCATCCTTACATATAATTCAATTAAAAATCATGATGAAAGAAATCACATGGTTATTAGAATTCAATTTCACTTAAAGCGTTATACAAACTTTCCCAATATTTGAAAATAATATCGAGTAATATCATGTTGCTGGGTGAACACCAAAAGCGTGCAAGTGATTCCGCTTACGTGACACCCCTAAACGGGCGTACCGGTACGCAAGCGAAGCCGACCGGTACTAACGAAGACGTAGCGGGCAGGTGGAGGGACTCCGTTCTTCTTCATACCGCGCACCATCGTTAGGCTGCGTTTCCACTAGAGATTTGCGAGGATGCGTGGCGAAGGATGTGTTTGTTAAGACCCAATAGAATCACTTCATTTACCTAGGCTCGCTCAGTGCACCTCTAGTGAGAACGGCTTAGCGGAGCGAGGTTTTTGTATATACAAAACAAGGGAAGAATGCGTGCGAGGGATGTGTTGCGAGGGCTGTGTGCGAGTGGTGTGTTCCAGGTATGTGTTGCGAAGGATGTGTGCTAGGGGCGAACGCGAGCAAAAAAATAGCAGTCACTAGACGGCAGCACTATACACATTCTCGCACCGCTCATCTGCGCTCCGTTTCACAGCGTCACTATACATCCTCGCACAGCTCAGCGGCCTAGCACATCTCTGGTGGAAACGCTCACACGGTTGCGCAGCCTTGCTATGCATCCTCGCACCGCACAGCTACCTCCCACATCTTTGGTGGAAACGCAGTCTTACACCGTCTAGTCGTCGTGTTGACTCACTATTAGTATTTATTACACATATGGCACTGTTGTTTTTAAATAGATCATCATAACTGCGAATGGAGAAGTTTCATGATGTTGTTAATATAATTTCAACGTAATGGTATTAAAATGTAGACCAAAAGTAATTAATCACTGAAAAAATTTTTGAAATGCATCTATAAATGACTTAAAAATAGATTATTGTAGTTTACGTATTTTAGTACGGAACGTCTGTGGTTTCTGAATCGCCTGTGACGTCATTTGACCTATCCGAGATCGCCGCATCACAAATCATTCAAGTAATTAGTTCTTGTACTGTTATTTATTCTGTGGTATTAGTTTCAGAGTCGCGCCAGGGCTCTTGCTTCGTTCGGGTTTATTTACGTACAATCATGTTTCTTTTTTATTTATGAGTGGGTAGTTTTTATTTCAATACAATGGAAGAAAGCTTAGTCTAAGGACAAAGAGATAATTTGCATAATATTGTTATATACACAGTAATGGACTTTTTTCTTTAAACCCGTCTTATGTTAGTGCTGAAATAAAAGGAGTTTTTAAGTAAATATATATACTTTTAAGTTTATTTCAACAGCCATATTTTTGTTTTAAATAAAAATCTTTTCAATCGCCGTAAAAAATTCATTTCTTCTTAAATTTAGATTTTAATTAAAATTGAAAAAATATTATAAAATCTAATTATTAATTACCAGTGTTCAAATTCAATTGTCAATGTCTTGCTACGGTAAGAGGTCACATGTTCTTTGCAAGTGTTCGTAAAATTGTTGTTCCGTCGTGAAATTTGTCGGAAAATCTCTTAAAACTTTTCATTGTAACATGTCCCAGGCATGCTCGATAGGATTAAAGTCGGGCGACTGTGCAGGCCAATCAAAAACTTGAATATCGTGGTCTCGGAGAGCGGCCGACACCAGCCGCGCCGTATGGGTAGGAGCATTATCGTGCATCTGTGTGGGACAATAACATGCTCTGCTACCTCCTCGTGGCATTTTTGTGCAGTCATGCTGCTTTGGATCCAAACGAGCTGGGTTCGTCTGCTAAGACGAATTCCTGCCCACACCATGATTGTCTCGCCTTAGTATGAGTGGAACTCCTGAGCGTGCCGTAGACGGCTTACTCTCCCTGACGTTCTCCAAACGCGTGTTCTTCGTGAATCTCGCCTATTCTTCCGAGTCTGTAGAGTCAGAATCAGAGTCTGTAACACGTATAATAAATTTATCCGTCACGTCATCTACAATAAAATCAAGTTTGAAAAACTTATCTTCTTCTTTTTGAACATGCTCCACACATTTCTTCCACCGATCAAGGGTGAATTTCGCCATACCATCACTTAATAATGTGTTAAAATTTTTCAAATTTAAACGTAGTATTGTTTCTAGCTACGTGCCCCTTTACATCAGCCCAAATCAACTCAATGGGGCTTAATTCACAATCAGTCTTTTAGGCCAAGTTGCTTTAACATATTTGTAGGTATTAATAACCATATTTTTTTCATTCACAGTAAAACTAACTAGTCACCTAAAATTAAATTAAAATGATATACATACTTTACTTACATGCATCTTTGATAAATTAAGAAAAGTTTTATTATTACTGTTGCTGTTTTTTAAATAACTTTAAGATAACTTTTAAGATAACTTATGCAAATAAATGATTCTTCTTCTTCTTCTTGAAAGTACACCCCGAACCAAGAAGTTTTAATTGAAACTACTAAACAGCATTTATATATATCCTATTCCTATACATACCTTTGGACGTTTCTTTTTCGGAAAAGTAAAATCTGTGATTTATCTCTCGACTGGTTGTGGCTCCAACATTAACCACTCTTAATAAAAAAAACAATTATCAACAAAACAAAATAACTAATTAAATAAACAACAAAAAATAACAAAAATTTTAATAAATAACTTGTATCACCACGAGCGCGTTCCGAATGTTGGTGAACCCGTCTTGACCCTTACATGTTTTTGTCGGGAAAACGAGACATTACGACAAATACACAAAATGGAAAGAGATAGATAATAGATTGTCAACTCCACAATCGTTTTTGAGGTAAATGATCTTTCGTATCGCTGCTAGTTGGCTCAACCTTATATTATGGTCTATGGTACTTATGCCTTTTCGGAAATTGACTTATTATGAAGACTGGAAGTCACAAAATAATCCGTAGACGCGGTTTAAAAGACAAAGAAATCGGTCTATAGTTCTTCGAAAGAGCGTTGTCGTCTTTGCGTTCCTGTGCTAGAATAGGTTTTCATGTCGCCAGATTCTTTGGGGTACATATATAATCTATTTTCCCCAAATTACAATCTTACCTGTGCATTGATTTATCATGCTGAATCTTCAGACATATTTAATATAATAGAGTTATTTTTTAAAGAATAAGAAATTTTATATTCAAGTTCAAAATATATAAATAATGATATAACGTTAAGGTATCTACTTTTATTTTAAATTATGCCAAAATGAATGTGATTTATGGGCAACAATTACGCGTACACGTTTTTGCTTAATATTTACTTTCTTAGTAACACGCTCACTACTAATGCCTAACTACGCACTACTAATGATTAATGAATTATAATTCTAATTTTCTCTTCGCACTTTTAACGGGATTAGGATTGTCATAATAAATAAATTAAAAAAATATGTTTGCTTGTCAACGACTTAACCAATGACTGTCATTATTATGGCGTATTTAAAAATTGGAATAAACTATTTACAACTAAATTACGCAAGTAGTCAATTGTTCTTCGATTGGTAGGTACACATACGTTGATTTCTTGCCGCAGTAAAGACTCACTTTTGTATAATCTGTAACGTAAATTTTAGTTGCTTAAAATGTAACACCGCTCCATTTGATAGTTTTATAGTATTCGCAGTTGGATTATTCGTTCCGAATTCCGTTCCGAATTCCGTTCCGTTATTGGTGTCGAAACGACACTACCTGTGGAAATTTATAAATAGCACACTCGTGCGTAATAAGGTCACTGTTAGCTGTCGGCCGGCCGGGCGGACATAAGTACCTAGCGGTGTAACGGTTAACGGAAAGAAAGGGCGCGGGAAGATGCGCGACAAGGTACCTACATTTGTAACTGAACACCCTTACGAATGTGTGCGTGCGTAGTAAAACAGTAGGCGTTAGATATTTATGAATGGCAATCTGCATTACCACGCATCCTGAATTTAAACGATATTTAAATGACTGAATGTTTGTGACTTTTTACTTAATTTTTTTCACCATTCACCTGTATTACTTATTCTGAACCTTCTCTGCAAAATTTGGGTGTACATGGCGAAATGGTGTAAAAATGGCCCGACCAATTTTGATGAAATTGTTTGTGTGTGAGTGGGTCTCTAAATTGTTTAGACTCACTATTAGACTTGGCAGGTGTTGTTGTTGTCGATATCCAAAAATCACGCGTACCAGCTGGGGCTAATTGCGAATGTGTAATATATTATTAATGTTTAATAACTATAGGTTTATACATTTAGAAGATAGATTTACACTCGGCTTTAAAAAATATCATGGCATCTCCGTCGTAAAACATAATATATAAACCCTTCTTATGAATATTTATCCATGTAGGTTAAACCTGGATGCATCCTGGTCGGAGACCGGTGACCGCTACATGCTAAAACTATTCCGGGATTACCTGTTCCACTCGGTGTCTGCAGATGGGCGGCCGTGGCTCGATCAAGCACACCTTGCCCACTGCCTCAACCAGCTTGACGGTGGCACCAACGCTAAGGTTCTTATTTGTTCACAAACTCCTAATCTATATTTCCACAAGGTAATGATAAGTAAGGTAGCCAATGTAATGAGCAAAAATCAAGAAAATTACTAGTATGGACAAAAATTAATTTTTAAATATTATTTATTTATATATATATATATATATATATCTGACGGAATGCTGGATATATTGTTTCAAATAATGTTGAAATACTTGTTAATTTATTATGTCACATCCGTTATCAAAACTTCATCCAGTTGTATTCATTCAGACATTATTCATATTAAAACGATTATACCGCCTTCGGTCTTTCGGAAATCACAAGATTATTTTGTAATTCCCTTTCGCTATGAAACTTTAACGTGCATGTTCACAGGTGGAGTTAATGTCACGCGACGAGCAAAGTGTTCTAGTGGTGTCCTACGCCGAACTGAAGCATTGCCTAGAACAAGCCTTCGACGAAGTTATGCAAGCGGCCTCACCCGGGCCTTAGCTGTGGCTCCCATAAATTATATACCCTGTCATTGCAATAGGCTTTTCTTAGCTACACATTACAATACATCATACATCACTCACAGTGTCCGGCCATATGATCACACGTTCCACGAACTCTTTTTAAAATGTCTTATTGTTTTAAAGTCCTACGTGTGCCGATGTGATGTTTAGCTAAAATTGCCACTTTGTGTTCACGTCCGTCATCCACATCGATAAGTATTTTATGTCGCACGCGCAGTGCGGTTTACGTACAAACAATCAAGCAACGGATGACGGCGACAGTTCGCCGACAGGGGAGCCATTGTTGCACGATCCCATAGCGGAAAACGACAACACAGTACTGAGATGTAACGCGATCTCATTTTTACGAAGTAAACCCTTTTACCGGATGACTCTTGACATTGTCGCGTCAAAATGCAAATGTTTCGATATTTTTTATACGGAGTGGGTGTTACGAACGAAGAAGTGGTCAAAATTTGCACTTCTGTACGCCCTCGTAAAGCTTTAAGTGTCCGATAATAGTTTTGTATAGTGCCGATTTATCATACCGAACAGCCGCCTGAACAAAACGCCACAAACATTCCAAAACTAACGACATCAATTTATACAATCAAATGTACTTCCTTTGAATAAACGAAACAGTTGTGCAGTCAGCTCTACGAATATCTAATGATTTGAAAAAAATTACTTTCTATTTACAAATAATTGCGATTTGAGGGTATGTTTGAATATTTACGGTAGGCTTAGGAGATATTTTTCGAGCTGATCGTTCTATGTATGCACGACTGCTCAATTTCACGATAGTGTGAATGCAGCTACTGTTTTGTGACGTAGATCTGAATTTGTATAACGATGTGTTTTGTTTAGCAGTGACAAGGGTCGTTAATTAGTCAGTAAGACGATGGCAATAAATAACTATTAATGGTCCGCGTCACCGCTGACAGTTCACTGAATATTTTAATTATCCAATGACTTTTCTTGCCAATTCATTTATCTATACCGGATTAGACTATTAAAAAAAATATTTTTCTCTCCATTTTTAACCATTATCTAATTAATATACTGTATATAAATAATGAAAGTATTGTTTTGTGTTCGGAATAAATATATAAATTTATATCAATCGCATTGTATTTATTTTGTCTTCAATAAATTACTATTCAATTAAATACAATAATTAATACTAAATACTATACTCATATTTATTTTTATTATAAAGTAGCAATATCGTTGTTAGTGTTGCAAATTCCGATCTATGTATAAATTTCATTCTGACTTTTCATGAAACTTAAGAAGGAAATATTTTGAGATAATTATAAGTGTATATTTTTTTCTAACAAATAAAAACGTTTTCAATTAGATTTATTTATTATTCAATTTCTATTACTACCTCTAGTGTAAGTAAATTTTTGTACACTTCTATACATCTATACAAATAAATAAAATTGGTGTCTGTTTGTAATGTCAAAATAACAGCTTTTTACTAAGTGCATATGAAAGTATATACGATACTTATAACAAAAAACCATTTTTTAAGTTTTTGTCTGTCTGTCTGTTTGTTCTGGCTAATCTCCGAAATGGCTGGACCGATTTTGACGCGACTTTCACTAGAAGATAGCTGATGTTATAAGAAGTAACTTAGGTTACTTTTATTTTAGAAAAATAATAAAAAAAATTATAACCCTATATTACACGGGGGCAAAGTCGCGGGGAACAGCTAGTATCAAATATATTTAAATGCCAGGTGCTTTTTTACACAAACGTTAATATTTTAAAATAAAATTATCTTCAATGACTACCACATAGCGTTGTGGTCAGAATTACCAAACAGAAACAGAAACAGAAACTTTTTTATTCAATATAGATTATAAATAATACTTATACTCTTGTTTGATTACCACTGGTTCGAAAAAAACCTCTGTCCTGGGAAGAACCAGCAAGAAACCCAGCGGGACTTTTTTTTAAAATAACAGCTTACAATCATGATGTTACACAAATTCACAACACAACAAATTAGAAATAGCTTGGTAGCGATCACCTCATTTCCAGGGGTTATTATCATCCATAAATTCCTTAATATTATAATAACCCTTTTTATACAAACTTAGTTTAATAAAGTTTTTGAACTTTGAGCAGGTCAAATTTTGTATATTTTCTGGAATTTTGTTGTAAAACCGTATACATCGCCCCAAGAATGAATTACTGACTCGATGAAGTCGAGTAACTGGTACTACTAGCTTGTGTCTGTTCCTAGTATTTACAGAATGAATATCACTTATTTTTGTAAAACTACTTTTATTTTTGTGTACGTACATTACATTTTCATAAATGTATTGAGATTCCAAAGTTAATATATTAATTTCCTTAAATTTTTGTCGCAGCGACTCTTTAAGGCTTTAGATCATAAATTGCTCTTATGGCCCTCTTCTGTTAAACAAATATAATTTCAGTGTCAGCTGCGTGTCCCCATAGCAAAATACCATACGATATTATGCTATGGAAATAGCTTAAGTAAATTAGTCTAGCTGTTTCAACACTGGTAAGACTTCTAATCTTTTTTACAGCATATGCTGCAGAACTAAGTCTGCTTGCTAGTTTTGATATATGGGGGCTCCATTGAAGCTTCGCGTCTTTTGTGATTCCAAGAAAAATGGTGGTATCTACAAGACTCAGTTTCTCCCCATTTAAAATTACATTAGTATTTAATTGTTTGACATTTGGAGTCATGAATTTCATACATTTCGTTTTAGTGTCATTTAAATGCATATTATTAACATTGAACCAATTTACTAATTTAGATATAGCATTATTTACTTCGTCATATTTTAGTATTTGTCGACTTAATTTGAAAATTAAAGAAGTATCATCTGCAAATAATACTATATCATGGTTATCCCCTACTATGTAAGGTTTTACACATTAATCTACACAAGAAACAGAAAGGGGCCGAGAATTGAGCCTTGAGGCACGCCCATTTGTACCATCGATCCGGAAGAGCTCATATTGTTAATGACCACTTTTTGCGTTCTCTTACTTAAATATGAAATAATTAATTTAAGAGCATCACTTCTTACACCGTAGTGTTGAAATTTCCTGATTAATGTTTCATGGTGAACACAATCGAAGGCCTTTGATAGGTCACAAAATATACCCAAAGCATCCTGTGAATTCTCCCATGCATTAAAGATATATTTAATCAGCTCAACACCGGCATCAGTTGTCGAGCGACCCATTGCGAAACCAAATTGATTTTTATGAAGTAAATTATTTATATTAAAAAAATTTAACATTTGGTCAAAAGCAATTTTTTCAAAAATCTTACTAAGTGTTGGTAACTACTAAGCCACGAGATTCCAGCAGAATTCAATTTTGCAAAAACAACAGTTGTTTCAAACATAATCACCATCACAGAATTGGGCCTGATTACCTGACGTAAATGGGCTATGCTCGGCGTTTCTTTGCGTGATAGACTTCGCAGTAGAACCAGAGTAACCGACATAATCCAAAGAATTAGTAGGCTGAAGTGCCAATGGGCCGACTATATAGCTCGAAGAACCGACAACCGATGGGGAAGAAAGGTTCTCGAGTGGCAGCCTCGTACCGGCAGGCGAAGTGTAGGGCGTCCCCCCACTAGATGGAGTGACGACCTGATAAGACATGCAGGAAGTCGATGGATGCAGGTGGCTCAGGACCATGATTTGTGGCATTCCTTGGGGGAGGCCTATGTTCAGCAGTGGACTTGTGAAGGGCTGCTATGATGATGATGATAACATGATGTAAATCTCTTTACTTTATCTATCTATACATATAATAAATTTGTAGAAAAGTCGTGTCTGTAATTCTAATATATTCTTGAAAAAACAAGTCCAGGGAACTAAATAAAGGGTTCTGAAGCCAAATTAGTGGTTTTTATAATTTTTGTCTGTCTGTCTGTCTGTGTATTCCGGATTCACGCAAAAACTACTGAACCGATTTACATGAAATTTTGTATGTAGGTAGTCAGTAACCCGAAGCAACTTATAGGCTACTGTTTATCCAATTATGGAACTTCAAAAAAAGGAAGGTTAAGTATTTTATTTCCATTAGATGTTAATTTTCTGTTGTATCTTAGTTATAGGCAGGATGATGGGTGTTTTTGAAATACAAATACAAATGGAAAAAGTACCTACTATATTTTGCCTTCAGTTAGTAATAAATGAAATAATATTAATAACTTACATTTATATGATTAAATTATTAGATTTATAAAATTATTAAAAAATTCTAACGTTCAGTATTTTAGTATTTTTGTTATTTTATTTTAAAAGTGTAATAATTTCAATAGATAATAGTGACGTCTATCAAAAATATGAAAATTGATAAGGTATTTATTTCAATTACTTCCTAATATATATGTAAAGTGATAAAAACTGGTCTGTCTGCAATCGTTGCAAAATTTGCATTATCATCATAGTTTTATTAAAGAGATTTTTATATATGTCGTGGCCAGATCGTAGAATTGATCATATATCATAAAGTAGTCTATCATTTCGTGAAATGGTGTGATCATTTCATGATATTTAACACTATTTGTTGACCGTGTAATGATATAGCTTGACCAAATCAATGAACAATGAATAGAAATCGTTTGAAGATATTAGTGTGGTGATAAATTTTGTAATAACTCATATCATGAAATTTGTTTGGATAAGTTATATAATAGTTTTGTCAATATTATAAGTGAGGCAGCAGAACGAACAAGAGAGGATAAGAGTGGGCATAATAATAAAAAGGAACATTATACACTCGGCGTCAAAAAAATTGCACATCCGAAAAAAATAATTTAATTACTATTTTAACACAACAGGCCAATGGCAATGTTGTGGTTTGAGGGTATCATTCGAAAGGTAATTTCATTAGCTTTCAGGAATTTTAATAGAATTTTACTTTTATAACGAGACGAAAGAGAAATTAAAGAAAAAGACAGGGTATGTACGAATTTGCAAATTAATAATTAAA